ATAAGAATAAGAAGAATTGTATTGATCCCTGAAGGGAAATTCAGTTGTCTGTTGTCTCACATAATATGTCTATAAAAGTTATCTATTATTTACATAAGAGAGCTACCACAGAGCCAGCCTTTTTCACCAGTTTGTTAAGACGTCTTGCATCTTTGTGTTTGATGCTTCCTCCCCAGCATACTGCAGCGTAGAACAGCACACTTGCCACCTCAGACTGATAAAACATCTGCAGCATCTTTCTATTTCTATTCATCAGAGTCTTCTCAGGCAAAAGAGGCGGCTCTGCCCCTTTCTGTAGATGAAGTCTATATTCTTAGACCAATCCAACTTATTATTCAGATGTACACCTAGGTATTTATATGATGTCACCACTTCGATGTCCACTCCACAGGTGTTCAGTGGCTGAAGAGGGGGTTTGGATCTGCGGAAGTCTATGACCATCTCCTTTGTCCTTGAGGTGTTGAGGAGGACGCAGTTTTTGTGACTCCAGTCACTCAAGGCTCTTATTAGATCTCTGTGTTCAGCTTCTTGTCCATTTCTGATACATGCCACAATTGCGGTGTTATCTGAGTATTTCTGGATGTGGCAGGACTCTGTGCTGTATTTGAAGTCTGATCTATACAGTGTGAACATGAATGGTGCCAGCACTGTCCCTTGTGGAGCCCCTGTACTGCTCATTAATGTCCCAGAAACACAGTTTCCCAGCCTGACAAACTGTGGCCTTCCTGTCAGGTAATCTGTGATCCAGGAAACACAGGAAGGATCCACTCCCATCTCTGTGAGCTTGTCTTTGAGTATGGTGGGTTGGATTGTGTTGAATGCACTTGAAAAGTCGAAGAACATGATTCTCACATAAAACCCAGGTTCCTCCAGATGAGGCAGGGCATGGTGAAGCATGTAGAGGACAGCATCATCCACTCCAATGTGTTCTTTGTATGCAAACTGCAGGGAGTCCAGGTTGTCTTTGACCTCAGAAGGCATAGAATCAGCCGCTCCAGGGTTTTCATGATGTGTGAAGTGAGGGCCACTGGTCTCTAGTCATTGAGTTCAGCAGGACAATTTTTTTTTTGGCACTGGCACAATGCAGGATGATTTCCACAGAGCAGGTACCCGCCCCAGCTGTAGACTCAGGTTGAAGATCTTGTGGAGAGGTTGACACAGTTCTGCAGCACAGTCTCTAAGCAGCCCTGGACACACACCATCTGGACCAGCTGCCTTCCCAGGACAAAGTCTTCCAAGCTCCATCCTCACCCCTGTTTCAGTGACAGACAAGGACTGGTGTTCTAGGAGGGAGGCAGTTGAAGTTGTTGAGACATCTGAATGAGATGGGAGGAGGAAGGGGAGAAGTTGTAGTGGAGATTTATTGCGGAGAGGAAGGTGGAGTAACAGTGGAAGTGGGTGTGACAGCAGTGTCAAATCCGTTGAATAAAAGGTTGAGTTCATCAGCTCTTTCCAGATCACCCACCACTTACTGTCTTTTCTTTTTACTGTGTAGGGGAATGTCTTCATACATTTAGGTTAAGAAATATAGAGTAATTATCTTTTAGTAAGAAGGTACAAATAATCTAGGTTGGCCTGCTCCTGCTGCCCCACGACCATGAGATTGTAAGCAAGGCTGTCTTGCAGGAGCCCAAACTATCTGTCTGTTGGAACACGTAATCTCTGCCAGGGTCAAGACGAACCTAAACAAAGTGTCGTGGGGCAGACATGTCATCATGAGGGGCCTGCTGGAGAATACACACACACACACACACACACACACACACCTAACAGCATAAAAGAGAGAATAAGAGAAGCTAGAGGGGGCTTCCTTGGGTCTTGGTCGAGACTCTGTTTGTCATCTGTACTAATTTCTACATCTGTACTATTAAAGACGCCCAGGCTGTTCTTCAGATCTCATCATGTCTCCTGTACATTGTTTTACTGAGTTTATGTTGGACGTTCCACAACATAATTGGCGAGCTTTAGCCAGAATTCGTTTCGGGGGACAAGGGACCATGGTTCTGCGAACTTCACATGGGATAAGGACACTCTGTGCGCACAAAAAGAAAAAGGTAGGAGTTTTTCCTAAAATTTGGTTGAGAGTTCTTCTCCCTGTGAGGTGGTGCGGACTACTGTTCTCTGTCCTCTTCGAATCAAAGAACCTAGAATAGAAATAAGAGGAGACAGTGGGAATGAAGACAGTCTGAGAAAACTGCATGCATGCAGTCAGCTGATCAAAGTCTGCTAAATTTGTGAGGAAGCCAATTGAAATTGAATATATATCAGCTGATTTAAGAGAAACTGCAGTTGACTGTGTGAAATTGCCTCACGCTGTTGCATGTGTGAGATGCCATATGTAGAGCTGTAGGCTGCTACATATGAGGGATGCCATATGAGAAGCTATAGGCTGCTGCATGTGATGAATGCCATATGAGAAGCTATAGGCTGCTGCATGTGATGAATGCCATATGTGGAGCTATAGGCTGCTGCATGTGATGAATGCCATATGAGAAGCTGTAGGCTGCTGCATGTGATGAATGCCATTTGAGGAGTTGTAGGCTACTGCATGTGATGAATGCCATATGAGGAGCTGTAGGCTGCTGCATGTGATGAATGCCATATGAGGAGCAATAGGCTGCTGCATATGAGGAATGCCACGTGTAGAGCTATAGGCTGCTGCATATGAGGGATGCCACGTGTAGAGCTATAGGCTGCTGCTTATGAGGGATGCCACATGTGGAGCTATAGGCTGCTGCATATGAGGAATGCCACGTGTAGAGCTATAGGCTGCTGCATATGAGGGATGCCACATGTGGAGCTATAGGCTGCTGCATATGAGGGATGCCACATGTAGAGCTATAGGCTGCTGCATATGTGAGATGCCATATGTAGAAGCCATAGGCTGTTCTATGTGTGAGAAGCTATAGGCTGGGTGCAGAAGCACTTCGTCTTCCTAAAGGGTGAGACCGCCTCACGCTGCTATAAGTGTGAGATTGTCACATGTGAAGCTATCGGCTGGGTGCAGAAGCACTTCGTCTTCTTCAGAGTGTGAGATTGCCTCATGCTGCTATAGGTGTGAGATTGTCATATGTGAAGCTATAGGCTGGGTGCAGAAAAGCACTGGCCAGTAGCTTGGGGAGACAGCCGGGCCCGGGTTGTGATGTGTTTTTTTTTTTTTAGGCTGAATGCCTGGAGATAAAAAGGTTCAGGGTAATTTTTGGGATAACAAGGGGAGGGGCAGACACGAGTGTGTCTGTCCATTGTTGAACTGTGAATTTTAGACCATCTTTCATTAGCTCTGAAAGGTGGCAGCTGATGGACGAGCAGATTCATCTCGTAATACATACGTGGATTTTCTTTCTGGAAAACTCCACTAGAAAGTGGATTTGTCATGCGAAGTTCCGCTGAGGCTTAAGAAAAAGCCAAAAGGAGAACGAAAGTGGCATATATCCTCCTAAATTCTGATCCAGAACTCTAGAGGGCCGAATAAGTATAATGACGGAATAGTAGATATTTGAAATGAACATATATATATCTCTTTTATATGTCGAAGACCTCACAAAATCAGTGTTATAATTGGACTTAAATTACAGATACAGATTGGCTTGATGAGCAGGAGATAGAAAAAGAGGTCAATAAGGATAGGCTGAAAAACCTATTCAAGGATCCCAATTGAACAAGCACGTCCCATATCTCCTGACCAATTGTAGAAGAATCACACAAATTGAAAAAAAATCACACAAATTGGGAAAATTGAAGAAATCAAAACAAGAATTAAAATAGAAGACTGCTGACTGACTCCAGTGACTGACTTTGACTTCAAACACGTGTGAAAGGGTATACCATTGTGTGATGAAAAAGTGAAGTGTGTGGGTTGATTGGATGTTTGTGTGCGTCTGTTTTGTTCTGTGTCAACTAAGTTCTCTGGCAGTGTTCACAGCCAGACTCTGCATCTGTGTGTGTGTTTTGCTAGTCAAAGATTGCTGTGTTTTCCTCACTTGTGTTTATTTCATAGTTGTTTATGTGAATACTGTGCTCATTGCGGTCATGTTATCAGTTGAGACATAGAAGGTTAAATACTCCTGGGAAAGAGGTTCTGTTCCTAGTACCATGATGAACACTCCTGATATGAAGGTTTTAGCTTATGCTTAAATATTATGATGTTTTTTTTGTTGTGAACACATGTCTTATGCTCCTTAACAAATGTTCTGTGTTAAAGCTGCTGAAATAATGTTTGTAAAAGTATAAAAGATACAAAAAGGGGAAAAAGAAATGAGGTACCACAAGTGCGAAACTTCTAAAACTTCAAATCTAAGAGTTGCTTCTATACATCTGCTGTTTTTGCCAAAATACTGGGTTTTTTAAATATTATTGAAGCTGTTAATATCAATACTGACTATTGCTATAGAACTGCAGTTAAGGCAAAAGCTTTATACTGTGTATTTTTTGGGAATTTTACAAAACTGCTGGGGATCAAGTTTTGATGTGTGTGCTCATTTGAATAATAAATTTTACAAAAACCATGATCAGAAAGGGAAGATTAGTTTAACTCCAATTGCACTGGTAGGGTGTAAATATCCTGATCACTTAAAAATATCCAAAAACTTACAAAGAAATGGGAACAATGAGTCAAGGGGTTTGAATTTTTATGACCTAGGGGAGGCACATCTGATTTGGCTGTGTGTGAGGATTTGGAGCAGCGAATCTAAGGCCATAAACACAAAGATAAAGTAAAACACGCAAAAACGAGAGATATGGAACTAAAAGTACTGGACATGTTCAAAGATTTGTGTCATTTTCATACTTTATATTATTTGTTTTTTCTTACTCATGCGATGAACTTTTGAACTAATAAATAAGAATAGAATAAAAACTAAAACTTTTCTATCTTAGGTTGCCTTTAAACTTATTATTATTATTATTTTTTTTTTTCTTATTTATCTCTTTTGAATTTCCAAATGATTTATAATCATTGCTATTTTGTCCCATATGTTTTGAAAAGGTAATTGACAGTTTTCGTGAAATTGTGCTGTGGAAAACCACACACCTTGTTGGGCTGATTGCCAGACTACCACAAACTAAACAGGGGGCAGGGAGATGGATACGAGTTTTTGAGGATGAACTGTAGGAAAATGTTGACTACACCAGACATGAAAGCTGTCTTGGCTAAACTGCTGGGAACTAAGACGATGGAGGAGTTTCTGCGCAAGGCAAAACAAGGTTGGATGACGTATCCCATGATAGATGGGAGTGAGTTCAATGCATATTGTGATGTGATGTGGAGGGTGCTGCCAGATGAAGAGCGGAGACCGAAAGAACAGGAAAAGAACATTCAGCGGAAGTTGAAATAGCCACCTCTAAGGGGGACACTGCAAAAGAGACCCAGCGATGCAGACCGTGCAGATGCTAACTGCGGTAAAACCTGTGACAGTGACCTGTTTAATCACCTGTTGTGAATTTTTATCCTCAGACAGAACCCTGCTCCATAGAGAGGATATATCCCGGCAGGGGGAGAGAGTGGAATTCTGACGGATGTGTGACGTCTATAGACCTGCTGGAGATGTGATCATACCAGACATTTTTGACAACTGCCCAGACCAGGGACGTCTCTGGCTGGAGCTGTGGTGGGGAGCCCCAGCCCAGACAATGTGAAAGTGGTGGCTTACTACAGTGTGATTTTTGTGGATGATGGAAAAAGTTAATTGTTAGTTTTAATTTTAACCCTGTTGACCTTATAGACCAAAGAGCCCTATGTAGAAGTAACATTCAAATTTGGTGCTCACTGCAAGGTGTGTACGTAGACAGTTATGGTTTATTGTTTTAAAGTAAATATCGTGACATTAGCATTGTAACATTCCTGTTCTGTTAGTTTAATACTGATGAATCTAAATGCAGCTGTGCTGAATCCACACACACTCCTCACAGATGTGCCACCTAATGTAAAAGTAATAGGAAGCTATCAAAGGCCAGTAAGGCCACAGAAAATGGTTTAGAGTCAAATAACTAGTTTTTGTACCAGTAGTATTAACAAACGAACTTAGGATCTGACTTTCACAGTGATTCACACTGTGCAAGGGGGAAGATGATGAGACAATTAAAACGACATTTTTAGAATATGCTGACAATAGTTGATAAACTTTTGGGTCATTGTGATATGTGTTTTGTTAGATGAATTGAAGAGAACAATAAAACAGTAGTGGGACACTGTTCCAGTTCCAGAGAGACGCTTTTAGAAATCTATTCATAGGCAATGTGGACATGATTAAAACTGCCAAGGGATATGTTACATGTTTGTAATGATGACGGATTCAGTCGATGGATAGAAGCAACACCATCAAAAGATCTTGGAGTCAAAATAAATCTGTCATTGAATGATTTGGTACATCATTTTGGGGAAGAAAGTTAATCTCTCAAGTAAATATCTGATCAGAGAGTTTGCACTAACACTAACCTATAGGAAGATGCTTTTGCTACTTGCGCTTATGAGCTTTCACAATCAAAAGCACTGAGAAATCTTTCACTGCATGATTGACTAACTTACAAAGCTATGCTTTACTGCGGCTAAATAATTAAGTTTTTCGCTTGAGCAGCTGAAAATTAGTGAATTAAATATATGAGGCAGCTAACTACGATGCAAAGATCTATCGATTAGTAGGAGGAGTGCCAAAATCTGATCCCAGTCAAGAGGGGGAGGCCAGTCGAGCCAGAGCACCAGGTGTACATCACCATCCTTTGAGGAGGGTGGCAAAAAGAACGAGGAGAAGACCTGAACACTTTGGTCCTGGTGAATCTACTTCAGTGCAAGTAGAGGGCGTCATCTACCGCTGACTGCCCAGAAAAAACAAGGGAAGTATGACTTGATGAGAGACACTCCCAGAATGACTGTAGCACTCGTCCTGAAAGTAACTGTTTTCCTGGTGTTGCTGCTGAGGGACAATGTGTGGAGAGAGACCGAGAGAGAGACTGGAGACAACAATGAGGGTGAAGGTCAAACTGGTGCCAGTACAGCTGTGAGAAGAAGAAGTGGGAGACATTGTTATCGCGGGTGAGTACGATGCAACCCAAAACACAATCCACACCACTCCAGACAGAGCTAGAACCCATGCCAACATTCACAGATTATTACAGATTTACAATGAGGTTAAATAGATAATAAAATTAAAAAGTATTTTGTGTGTGGTAATGTGAGAATGAGAGAGGATGTGAAGAGAAAAGATGTGTCTTAAAAGGTTTTGGAAGTACTGTTGCAGATACGTTTCTAACAAAACGAGCCCCTGGGGGAGGTTTTTCTAAAGCTATGAAGGGTATAAAGAAAAGTTTAAAGTGGAAATGCGGGAGAATGCTGGTAAGGGGGGCCTGTTGATGGACTGAAAGTGGTGAAGGGTAAAGAAAAGTTTAAAGTGGAAATGTGGGAGAATGCTGGTAAGGGGGGCCTGTTGATGGACTGGGTGGTCCAAATTTTAGATGAATGAGAGCCGTTTTGGCCCAGCCATGAGTGCTGCGATAGCCCTAATTCTGATTTCCTTTCTCACATGTCGCATCGTACACATCCTTTGGAGACATTGTTGGAGGCTGACGGAGGAGATGGGACTTACGGTGGACCTAACACTGGCCCATGAACTACAGGAAATGCCACCAAAACAGCTGGCACAGTTTGTGATTGATCAAGGAGGGACTGAGGGACCTGAACGGTTCCTGGACTTCCTAGACGAAGATGAGCAATGGACTTTGAGCAACACAAACAACATATTCAATGAGCTGAGATATTGAACTGAACATGTTTCATTCGCAGAGTTAAAGGACTACACTAATCACACATTGATCAAGGGGTTAATCAGATATTAATCAAGGGGTTTGTCGCAGGTTGCTACAATGTAATGTAATGATATTATCAAATGTGGACACTTTCTTCTATGCAAATGAAATTATGTCAGCGCATCCAGGAAATGGATGGTCGCCAGGGCGCGGGGCCGTAAGATTCTTTCCCTGCTGAAACAGCCGAGCAGGGTTTTCAGTCTTACGCGCTGATATAATTTGAAACGATCCAAGCTATGGTATGGTGTTTAGTGTTTGATATGATGATTAGGTTTTTGTGAAAGTAAGAACTTTCAAAGGGGGGATGTGTAGGGGAATGTCTTCATACATTTAGGTTAAGAAATATAGAGTAATTATCTTTTAGTAAGAAGGTACAAATAATCTAGGTTGGCCTGCTCCTGCTGCCCCACGACCATGAGATTGTAAGCAAGGCTGTCTTGCAGGAGCCCAAACTATCTGTCTGTTGGAACACGTAATCTCTGCCAGGGTCAAGACGAACCTAAACAAAGTGTCGTGGGGCAGACATGTCATCATGAGGGGCCTGCTGGAGAATACACACACACACACACACACACACACACACACACACACACACACACCTAACAGCATAAAAGAGAGAATAAGAGAAGCTAGAGGGGGCTTCCTTGGGTCTTGGTCGAGACTCTGTTTGTCATCTGTACTAATTTCTACATCTGTACTATTAAAGACGCCCAGGCTGTTCTTCAGATCTCATCATGTCTCCTGTACATTGTTTTACTGAGTTTATGTTGGACGTTCCACAACAACTGCTGTGTCCAGAGATGGTACTGATTCCTCTCCACACTTCACAGATGTTGCTGTGTTATAGATTATTCTCTATCTTCTCTTTGTACTCCAGCTTTGCCATCTTCAGTCTCCTTTTCAACTCTTGTTCCACTTGTTTGAGTCGTTCTTTCTCACCATCTTTTAAAGCTTTCTTTTGCTTTTATGTCTCTTGTGATCCAGGGTTTGTTGTTGGGGAAACAGCGAACAGTTTTTGTGGGTATGACTGTGTCTCTACAGAAGTTGTCATAATCAATAAAGCAGTCAACCTGTTTATAGATGGTCATACTATCCACATCTGTTTCCAGCAGCACATTCCAGTCTGTTGATTTGAAACAGTCCCTTAGTGCTTCACTGGCTTGAGGTGTCCATCTTCTGATTTCGACTTTGGTCACAGGCTGCCTCAGCACACAAGGTCTGTAACAGGTTTGCAGATAGACCAAGTTATGATCTGACTTGCCCAATGGTGGTAAGGCAGTGGCTCTGTCGGCTTCTTTGACGTTGGCATACAGCAGATCTAGGGTCTTGTTTTCTCTAGTAGGACAGTTCACAAACTGTGTGAATCCAGTCAGGTGAGAGGAGAGGGTAACATGGTTGAAGTCTCCCGATATTATTATTAGTGCCTCAAGGTGTTGAGTCTGTAGCCTGGCAACACTATTTTGGAACACAATATGGCTGAAGAGCAACTGCCAACAGTTCAATATCTGGACAACACAACTTCTCCTTGACAGTCATGTGTGAAGGGTTACACCATCTCTGGTTGACAAATAAAGCCTGACCTCCTCCTTTCTTCTTGCCACTAGCTTGAGCATCTCTGTCTGACCTTATGGGAGTGAAGCCAGGTAGATCCACACTGGAGTCCGAGTTGTTTTGATTCATCCAGGTTTCAGTAAAACACAGGAAACTGCACTCACAGTATGCTTTCTCAGCCTTCACCAATAATTTCAGCTCATTGCTTTTGTTGGGCAGAGAGTGGACGTTTCCCATGATGATTGATGGAAGAAAGGGTTTATATCACCACCTCCTAGCATTCAGCTTTGCCTTCACCTTTGCACCAGCATGGCAACTGCGATAACACCTCCTGATTTCCTCTGGAATTGTATGTTGTTGTCCAGATTTGCTTTTCCTCAATGAAAGGAGCTCTTCTCTTGAGTAAACTATTCGCCCGGCAGAAGTATGCATCAGTAGCCAACAGAATTACAACAAAAATATTTTAAAAATCTAGCAAAAATTACAGATAACACAGAGAGACCAGACTTGCAGAAACCTATCGGTTCAAGTGCATCGTTTGAATGTGAATATAAAGGAAAGTATAAAGGAACACAGTATATATTAATGTAATGCTCTACAGTGCGATATAATGAATAACAACAGGCTATGATACAGCCTCATATGACAGGATACAGCCTGATATAATAGGATACAGCCTAATTTGAATGGATACAGCCTGACACGATAGGATACAGCCCGATAGCATAGGATAGAGCCTGATTTGATTCAGCCTGATAGGAAATTATACAGCCTGATAGGATGAATAGGGTACAATCTGTCATGACAGGATACAGCTTGATTTAATACAGCCTAATATCAAAAGATACAACCTGAAATAACAGAGCCTGATATGATACGATGAAGCTACAAAATAACACAGCTTCTGCAGTATAATAGTATAAAGCTTAGTATACAACCTGGAAGGATAGGAAACAGCCTAATAGAATAGAAAAGAATAGGATAGAATAAGGTAAGATATGATAGGGAAGAAAAGTATAGGATAAGACAGGATAGGAGAGGATTGGATTGGATTGGATAGGATAGGATAGGATACAGCCTGATATGACAGTATACAGTCTGTCATGATAAGATACAGCCTGATGGGATACAGCCTAATATAGTAAGATGCAGTCTGTCATGATAGGATACAGCCTGATATGATAGGATAGTCTGATATGATAGGATACAGTCTGTCATGATAGGATATGATAGGATATGGTCCGGTAGGATAGGATCAACTCTCCTACTGTACGGACATGTACTGTATCTTGTATCTTGAATAGGGTTGCTGTTTAATTCGGCATCCCCTACAGTCTGAGAAGTTTGTAGAAACCTTCATCAGATGTTTTTGCTCCTTTGACCCAGATGTGGATACACAGTGAACCTTTAAAATCCAGAGCTCCAGGCCTCTCTGTTTGAACCTGAGCTCACACACCTGCAGCTGCAGGTGAAGAGATATATTGGGCAGAGAGGGTTATAACACTGCAGCTCTCAGGATGATATAATAGGATACAGCCTAATTTAAATGGATACACCCTGATAATATAGGATACAGCTTGATATGAAAGTAAACAGCCTGATATGATAAGCTACAGCCTGATATGATAGGATACAGCCCGATAGCATAGGATAGAGCCTGATTTGATACAGCCTGATAGGAAGTAATATAGCCTGATAGGATAAATAGGGTACAATCTGTCATGACAGGATACAGCTTGATTTAATACAGCCTAATATAAAAAGATACAGCCTGATGTAATAGAGCCTGATATGATACAATGAATCTCCAAAATAACACAGCTTCTGCAGTATAATAGTACAAAGCTTTGCACGATAGTATACAACCTGAAAGGATAGGAAACAGCCTAATAGAATAGAAAAAAAAGAAAAGAATAGGATAGGATAAGTTTGTAGAAACCTTCATCAGATGTTTTTGCTCCTTTGAGCCAGAGATGGGGATACACAGTGAACCTTTAAAATCCAGAGCTCCAGACCTCTCTGTTTGAACCTGAGCTTACACACCTGCAGCTGCAGGTGAAGAGATATATTGGGCAGAGAGGGTCATAACACTATAGCTCTCAGGTTTAACAGAGATCAGTCAGACCCTAATCTGAACATTACTGTCCATGCATACCTCCTCTCCTCTTCAGATCATGTTTTATTCCTATAATCCTATGCTCTTGCTCTGCTCTGAGTGAATGTAAACCCACTTGCTTCACAGCTGAGTGAAACAGAACCTGCTGTTGTTACTGTAAGAGTTTATGTACCACAAGGGGAGGGGGAGAGTTGATTAAACTGCTCCTTTCCTGTGCACTACCGTACCAGCTTTGTTTTTTGAATCATTGCTGACTAATCAGAGCATTAGCAGCGCTCTAAGCATGTAACATCATGTCAGATCACCTGTGCTCAATTTCTGTACAGAGCCTGTGATGGACTGTGACTGCTTCAATCACAGCAGCAGATTTGAATTTCACCAAGACTCTCCAGCTCCAGCCTCCACTGGAGATTTATGCCCTCATTGAGGAAACTGCATTCACTCCCTGTCCTCAGTGTTTGGCATCTATTACACTTCATTATTATCTGCTGAGGCCATGCAGCGCTGCCATAAAAAGGAAAAAAAGGGAAGTGGAAGTTTTTGTGAAGATTAAGGCATCAATCCCTCCATCCCTGCTGTTGCAAAACACTCAGCAGCTCCTGATTATTTCTCTTCTCCTCTTCAGCCTGTCTGCAGGTGAGCCCAAGTTTGCCTGTACAGACTGTCTGTAGGTGAGCCCAATTTTGCCTGTACAGACTGTCTGTAGGTGAGCCCAAGTTTGCCTATACAGACTGTCTGCAAGTGAGCACATGTAAACTTTACACTTATACTGTCTGCAGATGTGAACAGGTTTATGTAATGCAGTGGTTTGGTCATCATGGTATTGCATTGATTTATGTGATTTTAGATCACAGGCACTAACATGTTTTGGTGGTGGGTGAATATTTCTGCTCCAGCTTTAGACTGTCCCTTTTTGTCTGTGTCAGTGGCTTATCACACTTACCAAATATGTCCCTGGTCTGTGGAGCTCCTCAAGGTTCTGTCCTGGGCCTTTTTTCATTTATCTTGTACCCACAACCTCTTGGCCACAAAATTGGCACCTTTATAGGCATTCTTCCCACTGTTATGCAGATGTTATCCATTCAGACTTTTTGTTTACACCTGAAAACACCTTAAAACCATTAAACTGTCAGAGCCGCATTTGCACCATGAATATTTGGATGGCAGGAGCAGGTACAGAGGCTCCTGATTACTTTGTGCTGATAGTGATGGAAAATCTTGGTCAGTTGTATATGTTTCAGTTAAATCTTCTGCAGTCCTGTAGGTTCATTTGGCAGAGTGATCCAGATAATTTTAATCCAATTTCAGAGCTTCTCTTCCTGAACCAAACTAAGATAGCATGACCATTTATAGACATCCAAACCATCTGTAGATAGTCTTTAAAATCTCTGAACTCACATGGTTAAAACTGTTACAAGGAAACAAAGCAGAAATGTTTCAGTGATGACAGATTTAACTGTTCAGGGACCTTTAAATAAATGGCTGAGATGACAGAGGCAGCAGCTAAGCTAACAGCTGGGACATCAGAGGGAGCAGGTGATGTTAGGGCAGGAGGAAGGCACGACGCACACACATGCTCACTCACACACACATGCACAGCCCCCCCGCTCAGTCAGCAGTCTCCATAAATAATCTTGCAGCAATCTGCCTCTCCCTCCACTCTCTTATTAATTACTTTTAGGGCCAAAATCAAACATCTGTCATGTTAGAATATACAAATTAATTATGCAGTGTCTACCCATCAGCAGACTCACAACAGTGAACCTCAGAGGGACCAGGAAGATAAGAACAGGAACTTTTTATTCTGTTTGGTTCCAGAAAACTCATGGGGGGGGGGGGGTTGCTTCATTCATAAAGGTTTTCTGATTCTCTTTGCAGACATCTTTAGAGAATGAACCCAGAGAGGAAATTGTGATGCTTACATTTTTAACCTGTGTTCATCCAGAGACAGTCAGCTGATCAGATATGCTCTAACGTTTTCTTAATCTTTGTGACAACATGACAGCTTTTCTCTGAGTTCAGATCAGTTTAGTTTTTAATGTGCCCCCCTGGGACACCACAGTCCATCAGTCAAAACCCTGAGCTAACTAATGCAGGAAGCAGCTCTTAAGTAACTCCACTGAGATCATAGGTTTATATGTGAACAGGCTGCAAACTGACGTCTTCCCTTCTTCAGCATACCTCAGTAAAATATATTTTCTCTGTCTACTTAAGCAAACTTTAGGGAAAAAGTCCCCTGTGAAAATAAAAGAATCACTTTGGTGAGAAACTTTTGTGTCATTAGATCCAAAGAAAACATGTATTCCCTTGTTTGTCTACCTGTAAATACTCAGATTATCAAAGTCTCTTTACTCCTTTCGCTCATTATTTATGCTCTTATTTAAAAAAAAAGTCCTCCCTCTTCTCTTTAGTATACTTTAGGTTAGAGGAAAAGACAAAGTCAAATAAACAATCCTCTGAGTGAGACAGCGGTCTGCAGCGTTAAAGCGTCTTTCTCAAGCTCGTAATAGTTTGAATCAGAGGACAGTCCTTTTAGCAGAGCTGTCCAAACAGAACATGGACCATCCATGCTTGTTACCTCAAACACCTTGGCCACCAAATCTGGTCTATTTCAAATTCAAAATTCAAATTATTTTATTTGTATAGCACTTTTCATACATAGGAGTAGCACAAAGTGCTTTACAGAATGATAAGATAAAAATAAGACTAAAAACCCCTCCCTCCCACGCCCACACACAGATACACGATCACTTACACACGCACACCCACCCACACACAAACATACACACACAGGACAGCGCTTGGTTGTTTTGTTTTGCATTTCGTCATTTCGTCATGGCTTTGTACCGAGGGTCCCGGTGAGGAAGAACGCATGAGGAGACACTGGAGCCAGGGACTAAAAGATTAAAACACATAAAATAATATTTTAAATAAAATCAGTTAAACGCTAGAAACTAAAAGATTAAAACGAATAAAAATCATGTTTTAAGTAAAATCAGTTAAACGCCAGACTAAAAAGGTGTGTCTTTAGCCTCTTTTTAAAAATATCAACAGTCTCTGCGGCCCTGAGGGTCTCTGGCAGGCTGTTCCACCGGTAGGGGCCATAGTGGCTGAAGGCAGCCTCAACGTGCGTCTTTGGTACCGGCCTTTTAACTGTCCCACGAACCACGACAGAGGACCTCAGGGTCCGTGAGGGCTGATATGCTAAAAGCAGGTCAGATAAATAAGACGGCCCATGACCATTAAGACATTTATAAACCAGCAAAAGAATCTTAAAATCGATTCTGAAGCGGACGGGGAGCCAATGCAGTGATTTCAAAACGGGTGTAATGTGCTCCTGCCCTCTGGTCCTCGTCAGCACACGAGCGGCTGAGTTTTGTAGTAATTGTAAGCTACTAATGCTTTTTTTGGGAAGACCAGAGAGCAGGGCATTACAATAATCTAGGCGACCCGAAATAAAAGCATGCATGAGCACCTCCGTGCTGGCTTGAGATAGAAACAGGCGGACTCTGGCTATATTCTTGAGATGGTAAAAACCTATCTTCGTGATGTTCTTAATGTGGGGAATAAAAGTGAGCTCAGAGTCAAAAATAACGCCCAGGTTCTTAACACATTGTGAGGGTTTAAGATCTTAAAATCTATTTGATAAACATACAACTCTTGAGTCTAGTGCAATTGTTTTTAGCAGTCCTCCTATCCTGTGTGTCACAAAGACAGACCACCTAAGAAATGCACTGCTTTTATTCGTGAATTTGCTGAATTTTTATCAATTTTACACAACTCCTATAGCATGATTGTTTTAACAGGTGATTTTAACTTACACATAGATAACTCCTCTGATCAGATTTCCACATAGTGTTTAAATGTTCTTAATTAATTATATGGATGTTATTCAACACGTCACACAGCCAGCTCACAACAGAGGACACACACTGCATTTGTTCATCACCTATGGCCTGTCCACCAGTCCAGTGTGTCCTCAGTTGTTGAGCTGGCTGTCTCTAACCACTACTGTGTGTTTTTTAACATCACTGGTTTTATCCAGCAGGAGACCTCTGTGAGAACTGTGAGGAAGCGCCATCTGACCCCTGAAGTGGCAGCAAATTTTATTGATGTTTTAGATAAAACTCCATTGTTATTTTATTATTTTATTTTATCATTTTTAACAGTAGGATTTAACGGCCCTTGAACTGGTTGCTCCACTTAAAATAAAAAACATCGTACCCAAATCCATACCTCGATGGAGAAATGAGGAGCTACAGCTGATTCTTTTAGGTTTATTACAGTGAACAAGATGTGGTGTCAGTCAGGACACAGGGAAGGAGGAAACTGGCATCTCTTCTTATATTGGTGCTTTATTCTGACATGTGCATATATGTATATATAGTTCTGAAAATACAAAACAACAATAAACAATATTGTTTATCAACTCAACAACTTCCTTCATGTGTTCGCAGGTACAGTAAGAATAGCTCCATACAAAACTATCCTCTGTATATTTATCAAAATCTAACAATGTTCAGAATGCATCCACATGACATAAACTCTGAGCTACACATGTGCCGCTCTCTGCTGAAAAAACACAAGCACTCGCAGATGGTGCACGTCAGTTCACGTATCGGCTCTGAAGGAGCAATTAAGGAGTTATAAACAACAACGACATTCATACACGTGGAACAAGATACCGCTATAGATATCACATCACGATCCCCAAACAAGGCGAGGATTAGACACAGAAGTGAGAGATACACACGTTACCACCGACATCTTATTCTAACAAACTAACCAGGCAATAAAAAACCACAGGGATCTGAACGATACTCATTATGTTCATTCACTAATACCAGAAGTGTCAGAATAACTCCACTTAAGGCATAAACTTCAACAAACGACAGGGGAGAACAATCCATTAACATGGCCGACTGCTATAGTTATTTCTCCTTCTCCGCGCCGTAGAGCTATCACTTCCTGTAGCAGCAGGGGGAAGGGGCTGTGCTCCCCCTTTCAAAATAATAGCCTTTTATACACTGATGATATGCAGCTCAACATCTCTGTGTCTCCTGATGACACCAGGCCAATGGATGCTTTTTTTAACTGCATTTTAGATATCAAATCCTGGGTGGCAGAAAACTTTCTCCAGCTTAACCAGGACAAAACTGAGGTTTTAGTCATTAGTCCTGAGGCCCAGAGAGAGAAACTTTTACCCAAACTACGAGCACTGTCTTTTAATCCATCACCACAAGTAAGAAACCTGGGCGTCATTTTTGACTCTGAGCTGACTTTTAGTCCACACATTAAGAACATAACAAAAATAGATTTTTATCACCTAAAGAACATCACCAGAGTCCGCCCTATTCTCTCTCGGGCCAACACAGAGACGCTAATGCATGCTTTTATTACTAGTTGTATAGACTATTGTAATGCCCTGCTTCCGGTCTTCCAAAAAAGAATAGTTCAGGTTTACAATTATTACAAAATTCAGCAGCACGTGTCCTAAAGAAGACCCAGAGGCAGGCCCACATTACACCAGTTTTAGAAACATTGCATTGGCTCCCTGTGTGTTTTAGGATTGATTTTAAGGTTCTTTTGCTTGTTTTTAAATGTCTTAATGGTCTTTGGCCTTCTTATCTTTCAGAACTGCTTTTACCTTATGAACCTTCACGGACCCTGCGCTCTTCTGGCAGCAGTCTCCTGGTCATGTCAGGACACACACTCATGGTGAGGCGTCTTTTCAATATCACGGCCCTTGTCTACGGAACAGCCTGCCGGAGGACCTCAGGGCCATAGAGAACGTTCATGTTTTTAAGAGCAGGCTCAACACCCACCTTTTTAGCTTAGCTTTGACTGAATATTTGTTTTATCTTCATTTATTCTAGTTAGCCTAGGTTTGTTTTATATTTATTTTCATTTATTGTAATGAATATGGTCTATGTTTTATTCATATTTCAGTTTTACTTGTTTTTATCCATTTATCATTTTTAGGACCCCCAGTGTTTTCTCTGAGGGAGCCCTCGGCACCGGGAGCAGTGGTCGCTTGTGGTTGCAGGGGCTGCTCACGGGGTTCCTGGTGGGAGGTTAGTGTCTGCCGCATCTCTCCTCTGGCCCTCTGTCAGTGTCCTGTAGCTGTGGCTAAACTCTGCTCCTGGTGCTGATGGTTCCTCTGATGGCGCTTTCACAACTGGTTCATCTGTACTCAGCCTCATGTCCATGATCTTAGTGTGTGTATGTGCGGGTGCGTTGGCGTGTGTGTGTGAGCGAGTTTGTGTGTATATGAGTGTGTGTTTGTGTGTGTGTGTGCGTGTGTGTGTGTGTGTGTGTGTGTGTGTGTGTGGGGGGGGGGGGGGGGCGAAAGTATCCCCCCTCCCTAACTCAGCTCCTCCCAGCGGCATCAGTCAGCCGAGACCTGTTTTCACCAATCACATAAGCTCCTCTCCTTGCCTTTAAATCCGCCACCGGCGAGGTGTATTACAATTTTCGTGAACTAGTCGAGGAGATCAAGCGATGGCTGAGTGACAGTAATGCCACACAATGGCAACAGAAGGCAGCCCCTCAACAAGTGTTGCTGTAAGTACTGCAGAGGGCGTCCTGCACACTGTCTCATATAAGCACAGATGGATTTGGTGTGTGTAAGGTTGGACCCACTGGTAAGACAAACACCCTTTTCCACAAATAAAGACACTCACATAAAGTTGCATATATTTAAACCTCACGTGACAAAGGTGGGCTGTGCGCACAGATCACAACATAAATTCCAATAATGGCATTAAAATTGGAACCATCTGTGCGTAAAAAACGCATCACGCTCCGTGGCCCGGCTCTTTCTTCCATAGATGTTGGTATATAAATAAGTTGGCTCACAAAACTGAATATTATAATATTCGTATGTAGGCTTAAAGTGAAAAACTCATCTGATCACAGAAACAAATCATCTGTTTAGTTGCCACAGCAGCAGCTGCAGCAGGACGGGGAGAGGACACGGAGACATGTCCAGGTCGAGGTGCGCGAGAAATAAGAGGAAGAGGAATAAAGAAAAGGAGGGAGATGAATTACATATCTTGTTAACTTCATCATGTGTGTCTATTTACTAGATATTTAATTTGATTTAATGAGCTTTCAGCTGTGTTAATTGGTCAGGTTGAGTGACCAAACGTGCGCCAAATGCGCTCATCAGATCAGATATAGATCAGAATATATCTATATAGATCTAAATGTATGTGCTCACTCAGATTATTAGTTGTTGATGATTATTTATTGCACTGAAATGTGCCTGACACTGTGGAAACCTGCCGGTGAGGCATCGGGGACATATGCCAATAGGTTGCTGGTCTACCAAAATACCTTTAGACCAGCTGCGCTCCGCCTGAGCTGAAAGCTGACCAGGTTTGAATCGGCGAGCTTTCAGCACATTTTACATGCCAGCGGCGAGCATGAAAATGTCACTGCGCCAGCTGATTCTGTCGACACCTCCCTCTGGCATGCCACCACGCCCAGCTTGGCGGACCTCAGTGTGCCTCAGTCCACGAAAAAACCAAACTAGCATTTGGTAGTTTGGTACCAGATGAAATACCACTACGCGGGGTCCGCCACCCTTCGCCACATCGCTGGCGGACACCAAAATAGAGCCCCATGACTTCATATCCAGTTCTGGTTTACAGCTGCTCTAATGTCTGTGTGTGTGTGTGTGTGTGTGTGTGTGTGTGTGTGTGTGTGTGTGTGTGTGTGTGTGTGTGTGTGTGTGTGCGTGCTCAAACAGAGATGATCCTGAGGTCCACATCTCTTCTGACAGGAGACAGCTGTCCGTCCTTCCTGCATGCTGGCTCTGAAGTGTCCTGTCCCAGGAGGTCATCTGATGAAAGGGGAGGGCCTCCCTTCCTCCTCTCATTCAGGTAACTCCAGCCCCTCCGATAGCATAGATCCTTGCTGTGTGACTGGTTGACACCAACAGCAGTTACCCATCATGCCTCTCTGGTGAAGGGCCCAGTGACCTTGAGACCAGCCAGGCTTTGCCCCCTTGCTGGGCTGCAGACTGCTTTTGAGAGGATGGATGGAGGCTCATTTAGAGAGGCTGGAGTCAGGCTGTAAAAGACTCTACTTGAGTGGATCTCACTGTGATGGTTTCAAAAATGTGCTTGAATTGTGAAAGGATTGTGAGATGGAAATATTTGTTTTTTTGCAGATATGCTATGTGATGAACTTAGTTTTACTTATTGACCTTTCTATAATTCTACAGTGTTCTCTTGGGTGATAGGATGAAGTTCGTTTCGTAGGTACCTTTCTCTACCCTTACTCCTTTCTGCTCATTTAACCATGACTTATCATTGACATCTCAGTTTTGTACCATGAGTTTGACTAATGTGGTATTGCCTGATGCCTGTTGCTGTGTAAATCCACCTGCATCCCGTTTTTGACTTACCAAATATGTGTCTTTTGGTGCATCTGGAAGTTCCCCCTTATGATGATATAAGTGTGTACTCACTGAGACTGCCTCAGTGAGATTTGGTAACTTAGACTGTTAGCACACTTTCTGTGTCTATATGTGCTATAAAATACAACTGACTGACTTGAGAAGCTTTGTTGATTCTTATCAAGAGACAAGATATTTCCAAAACAGTTGACTGTTAAAGCGACTGTAAACTTTCACCTGTGACTATTTGGACATGTAGGGCTCTATTTCCATGCCTCGCCAGTGGTGTGGCGCAGGCGCGGCATAAGTCAGATCCGCCGCGCCGACAAGGCATGCCCAAGCACATTTTGGTATTTTGGTGAGCAGCGCAGCCCGGCGTAAGTATCCCCCCACCCTAACTCAGCTCCAAGGCGTGGAGTGGGTTTAACACAGCCGAGATCTGTTTTCACCAATCACATAATCTCCTCTCCTCACCTTTAAATTTGTCACAGGCGAGGTGCATTCCAATTTTCGTGAAGAAGTCGAGGAGATCAAGCGATGGCTGAAGACAGCAACACCACACAATGGCGACAAAAAGTAGCCCTTCAACAAGTGTTGCGGTAAGCGCTGCGGAGGGCGTCCTCCACACTTACTCAAATTAGCACAGAGGGATTTGGTGTGTGTAAGGTTGTACCCACTGGTAAGACAAACACCCTTTTCCACAAATAAAGACACTCACAAAAAGTTGCATATATTGAAACCTCACGTGACAAAGGTGGGCTGTGCGCACAGATCACAACATAGACAAATTCAAATAATGGGTTTAAAATCTGAACCACCTGTGCGTAAAGGGCGCATCATGCTCCTTGGCCTGGCTGTTCCTTTCAAAGATGTTGGCATACAAAATAAACTTGGCTCATGCAACTGAATATTGTAATATCCGTATGTAGGCCTGAATTCCGCAAGCCGGCGACACGGCCGACACATTGATTTCTGTGACACAATAAAAATATTGGTTCATTTCAATTCCTGCTTCTGTGTATCTGTTGCGTTTACATCTCTCTCCACAGTATCATAGGTAATGTAATCCAGTATTTAGAGGTCAGTTATGCACATTACAGTTGTTTATTGAATAAAAAGTTATCGAAAAATGAAGTTAAGGGCGAAGTATAAATCACGTCTAAAAATAGACTGAATCCCAACGTTGAAATGAAGTATAAACTTAGACTAGACGTCTAATATACGTCTTTTGCTCAGTGGGATGGCAAAGCATGTGGACATTTGTGTGACACGCCACTTACCCTATAATAATAATCGCCACCACCCGCTGCTCAAACGGCGTGAGGGTCTCCTCCCCCGGACCCCCACCTGTCTGGCCGGTACTCCTCCGGAGGGCAGCTGTACGCCGCTTGACCTCCACCTTGAAGTCCGACCACTTTTTCTTAATCTCCGCTGGGTGCGTGTCTCGGAACCCACCGCATTCACCCTCTCGCAAACTTTCTCCCACTCCAAGCGTTTTCGTTTTGCACTGACGCCACTGGACACGCTGCCAAACAAAACACGCTGTCGCACCTCCACCACCAGCACCTCCACCTCGCATGCCGTAAATTTAGTTTTTCCTTTTCATTTTGTCTGCGTGCGAGGACAGGGAGACCCTATTTAAATAAATCTGCGTATTTATAGGAGGGCGTAACGGGGGCGGGCCCAGTCACTCCGACATCTGTGCTCAATTCCAAGCTGATTGCGCCCGCACACCTTGATACATACGGATTTTTTTCAGCGTGACGGACCTTGCGTGCGCTCTTTTCTGGTATGAGTCCCACGCAAGTGTTGATACATGAGGCCCCTGATCACTAAAGTAAATCACCTGGTTAGCCTTGCCACCGCAGCAGCAGGGCAGGGACAGGATATGGAGACATGTTTGGGTCGAGCTGCGTGAGGAAGAAGGAGAAAAAGGGGGACGACGCATTAAATATCTTGTTAACTTCACCATGTGTGAATGTTTACTGGGTATTTAATTTTATGCGGTTTCAGCATGTTGATTCGGTCAGGTCGACTAAAATGCCACTAGACCAGCTGTGCTCCGCCTGCGCTGAAAGATGACCAGGTGTGAATTGGCAAGCTTTCAGCACACTTTCCACGCCGGCGGCGAGCATGAAAATGTCACTGCACCAGCTGATTCTGTCAACACCTCCCTCCTGCCACACCACCACGCCCAGCTTGGCGCACCTCCGTGCACCTTAGTCTATGAAAATATCAAACTGGCTGTGCGCCGGGCTCTTCCAGACAAAAATACCACTGCACGGGGTGCGCCACCGTCCACTGCGCCGCCAGCGGGCACGAAAATAGAGCCCAAAATGTCAAACCAGCATGATAAATTCTCCATTACTGCAGAACTCTGGGACCTTTCCTTCCAATGTCAGTCATTTAGGATTGACAGGTTTGGAATAATAACTTTTAAATCCAGATTTTGGTGGAAATAATGAAACTCTTATTATTAAGGTTTCTGTTACATTACTGATTAAGGAAAGAATAAGAGGGGACCAAAGACTGACCCCTGAGGCACACCACCAGTGGCTGTTTGCGTGGTTAAATTTGGCTGCAGGCATACCAATTAAAAGACAGACAAAAATAAGCTCCTACAGTCTGACTTTAAACAATTGAGACATCCCTAAAGCTAAAACTGAGATTTTCTTCCCTCATAAAACTATAAAACTACATTTTCCAGGTAAGTTTGGCACTTCTTTTAGACTTGCAAGAATTAAATTCAGCTAAATGAACTGCATGTTTTTATCATGTGTTTCAGGAGAGACTGAGGCTTTTTGTCACATGGGTAAGTTGTCACATTGCAATTTTCTTTGCCACGTGAGGGTGCAACTAAAAAGTGGAATACTAGTTTTCTTCCTTTACATGGTCAGGGGTCGTGTCCTATCTGAGAAGAGAAGAGCACATTGTGAACTGAGATGAGCGCCAATTGACCATTTTAACAACCCAAAGAAAAAAAAATTAACTCAATATATTTTAAAATAAGCTTCTTCTGGATAAAAATCCTAGCAGTGGTACATGTGGACTTGGAGGAGAGATTAAGGCATCTTGTCATACCTCAGTCTTTGTTCTGTTTTAAGTTAACTTTAAGCTAGAGCTAGAGTTAGCAAACATGGTAGTTTGGAGCAACATGTCTCAGTCATTTTGAGGTTCACTGTCACATGTTTTATAGGGATTAAAATTAAAATAGAGAGTCAGCATATCAGCAGTTGTCATATTGAAACTTTGACTTTATTTTTTACAGAGAAAAAAGTGGTGTAGAGAGAAGAAAGCGAGAAGACCTGGGGCCTCATTTATAAAGCTTGCTTATGCACAAAACCTGGCTAGAAAGTGCTTACGCCACTTCTTACGCAAGAGTTGGGATTTATAAAAGAAAAACTAGTGTAGGAATGTGCGCAACTTTAAGCAAACTCGACAGCTTGCTTACGCAGTTTTTGGAGACAATCGGAGCAAGGTGAGAACAATTGGTTAATGGAAAGCGCACGTGTAAAAAGCCATACAGTGACAGTCGTGCGCAATGCAGCACAAGTTTCAAGTTTTATTTGTCACATGCCTAAATGTACAGGTACAGCGGCAGTGAAATGAAAGTGACGTCTGCGATTGTGCCAAAAAAACCATAATAATAATAATGTAAAGTCTGTTCAGAGGGTGTTGTGAAGTCGGTTATGGGGTGTGTGTTATGAGGAGTTCAGGATCCGAGTGGCCTGGGGGAAGAAGCTCCTTTTCAGCCTCTCAGTCCTGGCTCTGATGGAGCGAAGCCTCTTACCCGAGGACAGCCACTCAAACAGTCTGTGGTTCGGATGGAGAGTGTTTGATAATCCGTCTTGCCCTGGACCTGCACCGCTGGGTGTAGATGTCCTTGGAGGCCGGGCAGTGCTGTCCGGGTGATGCGTTCAGCACAACGGATGACTCGATGCAGCCTTTCTGTCCTGAGAGCTGCAACTGCTGTACCAGGCAGTGATGCTCGCAGAAAGCACAGACCCCACTGTGGCGGTGTAGAAAGTTTGCCAATTTGAATTGACAAATGTGCAAAAAAAACAAATTCCATTTACATGCATTTGTTTTTAGATTAATATGACTAAATCTTTTTGGTTTACGAACTTTCACCAGATAAGCAGTGGTGGATAACGGAGCAGTTTTTTTTGGAACACATGCATGAGTGTCCCACGTGCTTGTTTTTTCTGATCCTCACCTGTCGCCGCCACGCTCCGACGATGCAAAGCCACTTTTTTCTTTGCCTCCACCTTTAGATCAGACCACTTCTTCTTGATTTCGGCACAGTGTTGTTTTCGTCAACGTCATCGTCAACGAAAACAAAACTCCACGTGTTTGTGCGCACGCGTGTGTGTCTGCGTGTTGGAGGAGCACAGCAATTACCGCCACGGCAACGGCGTGCCATTCAGTGGCTTTTCTTTTATTGGTGATGCCACTCGAATGGCCGCCGAATAAGGTCTCCCGTCTCGCCGCCACCTGAATTACAAGAACCTCCACCTCGGTCTCTGAAAAGTTTCTTTTTCCACGACTTGCTGATGCCATGGTTAAGCGTGAAATGCCGTGGATCCATCAGGCTTATTTATATGCAAATCACATTCATGAGGCAATTTGCATGACCATACATGGTGAATTTTGGGTGTGGAGAGGGCGAGGCATGAATCAAATCCCTGCTGCGCAACTTTCCGGCTGGTCTGTGATTTATAAAGGGAAAGTGCGTGCAGGTGTGCGTAAGCAGGGTTTTATAAATCAGATTTTTTTTTTGCCTACGCACTTTTCATCTTTTCAACTTACGTACACTTTTAGTATGGATCCTACGCCAGGTTTTATAAATGAGGCCCCTGGTCAGGAATTTCAAAAGAAAAACAGAACGTGGGGGTGCAGTACCTGACTTGATGCTGAGGGCAGTCAGGCAGGTGACCCTAGCTAATAAATCAATCTGGAGTACAATAAAGGACTTTAATTTCAACCCAACTCAACTCAACTTTATTTGTAGAGCACTTTAAAACAACCACAGCTGAACAAAGTGCTGTACATAACTAGACAAAACAACAAGATAAAAAACAATCAAGAAACAATTAAAACAATGGATAAAATAAAAGCAGAATTAAAAGTAAATTATAGCTTCAATGTTTTTAAAAACTAATTTAAAAACAAAGAAACAAATAACTAAAAACAAACCATAGAACACTAAAACAGAAGCCGAGTCTCATGCAGGGATAAAAGCCAATGAATAAAAAGGGGTTTTAAGACGAGTTTTAAAAATAGACAGTGTGGGGGATTGTCTAATTTGGAGGGGTAGCTCGTTCCATAAAATTGGGGCAGCAACAGAAAAAGATCTATCCCCTCTGAGCTTCCGTTTGGACCTCGGTACCTCCAGGAGCAGCTGATCAGCTGACCTGAGGCACCGAGCAGGGGTGTAGGGGTGGAGAAGCTCAGAGAGGTATGATGGAGCCAGACCATTTAAAGATTTAAAAACAAATAAAAGAATCTTAAAATGAACTCTAAAATGCACGGGTAACCACTATACCTTGGCTCGGTACTGCAAAACATTCACCCCAGCCGAAATACAGAGTCAGACAGCTCTCCAAACTCCAGTGCATGTAGCATAATATTTTATGTAAACGTTTGCTTAATGGGTTTTTCTAGCTCAATGATAAACATTTTCTTTGCCTGACTTTGATGTTCACTTTTATGTAAAAAAATGAAAACAACAATAATTTTGTCCTTGTTTTATTAGCTGCAAAATCCACTGTGACATCTTACCCTATATAGTAAGACAACTTGCCCAATGGTGGGGCAACATGTCACATGTTCACACTCCCTATTTAATTACTCAGAATTCTGCACTGACACAAGATATAAAAAAAAACATGAATACAAAATATATACCTGAGACTTTGGTCTTTCATCTGGTTCACACTTTGTTTATATATGATTTATTGATTTCAAGAAATATTTGAGTGTAAAAAGTGTGACAACAAGCCCTGGTCTCCCCTATAATATGACTGTAACTAAAATGTCCATGTAGATTCTCATTCATCCAGGTCATGGTTATCTTGAAGACTTAAAAACAGGCAACAGTCTACACAGTCCAGTTGCCTGTTTTTAAGTCTTCAAGATGACTGTAACTAAACATAACTATAGTCCATGAGACAAGCTGAGAGTAAATTATGGCCAATCCTCAGTGCTGTCAGAGGCTGCAGTCTCTTCTTGGTGGTGTTTGAGTTGCTAATAGTAAAAGTTCTGAACAAAGCGAAGAGTGAGTTCAGGAACAAAGAACTCTGCAGGGAAACCCAAAAAGCCCCTTCACCTCCTGTAAATTTACCTTGATGAGTCAGATTCAAAGTCACCTTTTTGTACAGGTGACTGTAAGTACACACCTGCGGTTGCCATGGCGATCCCGGTGCAGGTGCCTTTCTGTCTATGTCATCAAACAACAAACCAAACTTCCCAATCCAACAATTTATGTGCTTTAAAATGTGGCAGCATATATTATGACAAACAATACATGCTGGGCTCTGCCAGCTGGTGTAATGATGTGCTAATGTGTGGACTCGTTAACTTGTGCACACAGTTTATGGTGGCCTTTTATGACAGAATTAATTGATTCACACATGCATGAAAGCAAAAAAACTGGGATGAAAATGCAGTTGGATGCTGGCCTCTAATCTGTCATAAACAGTCCTGCTGCTGGAGCGCACAGACATAATTCTTGCAAACGATGGGTCATATATACGCAATAAACAACACGGAGTGGACTGCACCGACAGCTGAGCTGATGTCCTCACAGAGTAGGAGACTGGGGACCAAACCAGTGTCTGTAACATACCATACTGTCAAAGTCTGAGACTTTATTCTAAAAACAGACATTCTCTGGCTGTGTCTCATTTCAGAGACCGCATCGTGATAAGCGCGCTTAACGGCGCTTAGCTGAGTGCACTGCCGCTTTGAGCCGTTTTACGCCGTTTTGCGCCGTTCTGTGCCCTTCCTGTGTCCCATTTCAGATACAGCAGCCATCGAACGGCGCATCTGACGCGTACGTGAGGTCACCACGCGGCACGAACGGTGTCCTGTTTGGCACAAAATACTAAGCGCGCTTCAAATTCGGTCTCAAAACCACACTACCCCCGCCTCGTTTTCAAGCGTGCATGTATGCACGCTTTCGTGCCGTCGGTATCCCAGAATTCTTTGCGTGCCGCTGCACAGCTGTGCATTTCAGGTGAGAGGCTGGACTCGCTTGGAGACACAGCGCGTCTTCAAAGAAAATACAAGCAATCCAAAACCATCAGACAGTCAGCTCAGGCTGTATGAGAGCATGATCTCTGAACTCACTAAAATCTGTAAACCAAACATTATAGATTTAGAGACGAACTGATCCGCTGTGTTACAACTATCAAAAACATTAGAAATGAGAAAGCTGACAAAACTACGGCAGAGTATCAGGACAACATTGAGGTTTTTTTTTCTTTTAAGATTTAGAGATTAAAGTTGTAAATTTAGGAGAATAAAGTCATAAAGTAAATAAAGTCATAAAGCTGCTTTTGCGGAGGGGGAAATGACTGAAGCTGGTCATCTGCAGGGTTATCTGTGGATGTATCAGCGGGTCATTAAGAGAGATTTTGTGGTTTCTGAAGAAACAATCAAACTGATGATAATCAACATTTGTGATCCAGAGGGAGTCGAGCTCCGACGAGCACCACGTCTCTGACACCGGCCGTAGCCTACACCTGCAGAGACACCAACACCTTATTACGGCATATGGATTCATATCATAAACTAAAGCTCAATGTCATTCACGGATATTTACGGCTGCATTGACAGATATATCCTCAGCATATTCATTTCTGCCTCCACAAAAGCAGCGATTTCCTTCAAGTACACCAATATTTTTCCCCCGTGGAAAAGACGTATTTCTCATATATTCTTTTTAAAGTCTTTATACTTATGACAATGTGATGCTGATGTGCCAGAGGATGAAGAATCTCCTTGTTTGTGAAACCTATACTGAAGCACAGTTCCTTCAAATGCTTCATGGCCCTAATTTTAACAAGTCTCTCTGAAATAACAGGTTATGACTTCATTCTCATAAATTAATGACTTTATTCTCGTAAATTCACGACTTAAATCTCGAAGTCCTTAAAGTCTTAAATCTCAATATGGCCCTCATACTCCTTCTTACAAAACAATCATTGGATGAATTGTGCTTGTATGTATCTACTATTTTGTGTCTGTGCAAGGTCGCACAATTAAAACAATAAATGCTGCGCTCCGCGGGTTTCCTTTAAGTCAGTCGTGACGCGAGCCTGAGGGCGGGGACATTTGGCAACTCCACCAGGAAGTCCTCCGAAGGTCTCCAAATGTCCCCGCCCTCAGGCTTACGTCACGACTGATTAGAAAAAAAGCTGCGGAGCGCAGCATGTATTGTTTTAATTGTGCGACCTTGCACAGACACAAAATAGTAGATACATACAAGCCCAGATCATTCCCACAAAATTAATCCAATGATTGTTTTGTATGAAGGAGTATGAGGGCCCTATTGAGAAGGAGGGTAGGAGATACTTCATCCTCTGGCACATCAGCATCACATTGTCATAAGTATAAAGACTTTAAAAAAAGAATATATGAGAAATACGTCTTTTCCACGGGGAAAAAAACTGGTGTACTTGAAGGAAATCGCTGCTTTTGTGGAGGCAGAAATGAATATGCTGAGGATATATCTGTCAATGCAGCCGTAAATATCCGTGAATGACATTGAGCTTTAATTTATGATATGAATCCATATGCCATAATAAGGTGTTGGTGTCTCTGCAGGTGTAGGCTACGGCCGGTGTCAGAGACGTGGTGCTCGTCGGAGCTCGACTCCCTCTGGATCACAAATGTTGATCATCATCAGTTTGATTGTTTCTTCAGAAACCACAAAATCTCTCTGAATGACCCGCTGATATATCCACAGATAACCCTGCAGATGACCAGCTTCAGTCATTTCCCCCTCCACAAAAGCAGCTTTTTGACTTTATTTACTTTATGACTTTATTCTCCTAAATTTACAACTTTAATCTCTAAATCTTAAAAGAAAAAAACCTCAATGTTGTCCTGATACTCTGCTGTAGTTTTGTCAGCTTTCTTATTTCTAATGTTTTTGATTGTTGAAGCAGAGCGGATCAGTTCGTCTCTAAATCTATAATGTTTGGTTTACAGATTTTAGTGAGTTCAGAGATCATGCTCTCATACAGCCTGAGCTGACTGTCTGCTGTTTTTGGATTGCTTGTAATTTCTTTGAAGACGCGCTGCGTCTCCAAGCGAGTCCAGCCTCTCACCTGAAATGCGCAGCTGTGCAGCGGCACGCAAAGGATTCTGGGATACCGACGGCACGAAAGCGTGGCTAAATGCACGGATGAAAACATGCTAAGCGCGCTTAGCATTTTTTAGCATCTCGTGCCAAACGGGACACCGTTCGCACCGTCGTGACGTCATGCACACTTCAAATGCACCGTTCGACGGTGCAGAAGGGCACTTAGGTCAATGCGGTCTCTGAAATGAGACACAGCCTCTGTTTGTCTTAAATGAGTGTGAGGTCTTTACAACTAAATCTTCAACTGAAGAAACCACGCAGAAATAACCATCATGTAGGAGAGAGATACTTTTACCTCAGTACTAATTTCTGTCCATGGCAAAAATAAATGTGCTGTCTGATGACATAGTGCAAAAAACTTGTGACTGTAAACTTAAACCCAGCTGAGTGTTGGAGTCTCTCTTAATCAAGGTTAAAGTTAGGCAGGAAACTGTAGCTGATTCTATGTGCCGACTCTCTCTGCAGGTTCTTAATAAAGGGGCCAAGCTGTCCCACTTCCACTGTGACTCATACAGTCCCACTTCAAAAATACTGAAACTGTCTGTGTGCCATTGCTTTAGCTGACATTTTTATTTTTACTGTACTTGTTGCTGATGTTGAGCTGTGTGAGTCTGAGTGTGTTTGTTTTTTTGGTTTTTGAAACTGCTTTGCTGCCATTCTTGGCCAAGCCCCCCTTGGAAAAGAGATATTTGATCTCAACGGGACTAGCCTGGTTAAATAAAGGTTAAATAAATTAAAGTCCCTTTAATTTCTGCATGATTGTTGGTTACGCTGGTTGGTGGAGAGATGTACGCTGAAGAAGGTGAAGACTATTCTAAAGAACATGGATCACCCACTTCATAACAACTTGATGGCCCAAAGGGCCTATGGTGGTGGATGGCTCCTCTCTCTTCCCTGCAAGACAGAAAGATTCAGAAGACCTTTCGTACCCACAGCCATCAGACTTTACAACTCTTCTGTAAATTGCAGATGACTTTTTGAGACATGACAACTGAGACTACAGACAATTAAATTTCCCTAAATAAAGTTCTTCTTATTCTTATTTTGAAACACCGCCTCCTGTCTGAACGTGTCCATTCCCGGTTTTTGAGAAAGCTTTTGAACTTGACTGGAAAATCCTGAAGCAGAGGTAAATGTCTGAATTTAGTGTCTCTGGAAGATGCTGAGGTGTGTTTCTTCAAACGTTGGTCTTACAGAAAGAAGAGCTATTATTTCACGTACAGCATTATGTCTGCAGTCTCAGTCCAGGAACCAGATCAGTTCAGATCTGGTTTTCTTGGAACAGATCATACAGCTCCTCTCAGGAAAAGAGGGATTTTCCTGCAGCATATGTGATGGTGAATGTCTGACATTTAATCAGAGAAAGACCTCAGGCTCAGGCTCCAGCCCCAGATGACTCTCATCCATTACAACAATCTAAGCCATATGTTAAAGAATTTCCCTGAATCTGGGGATGAAATAAAGAAAGGATTTAGCTGGCTTTCTCTTCAGCAAGGGCCACCAAAGCGGTCCAGAGTTCCATTTGGAGGAAATGATTTTGATCTCTCAGGATGGACTTAATGGTAATTGTGGACAAGCTGTGCTCTGCTTCAAAACCATAATTAATTTCTTAATCCCACTGACATTGTTATGAACCATGCAATTACTTAACCCAGAGTCAATAATCCATCTCCTCAGGCTGCACAGATTCTGACAGTTGACAGAGATGGATGCTCCATCAGTGGATTATATGGAGGTCTACAGCTCTATGTCTCAGTAAATCTCATGGAGTCTCTGCAGGAGGTCTGAGCTGTTCAGGGAGACCCCTGGACACTATTTAGACAGAGAGGAGGTTTCTTTTTCTCAGCTAAAATCCAATCAACTTGTCCTCAGTGAACAGACGGACACCCTTCTACAAGCCTGCTGAAAAAATTCAGTTAGCTAATGAGTAGAGAAATAAGAAAACCTCAACATGGACCAGAAATACTGAGCAAAAACACAGACAGACACAAGGGGGTTTCTGAGAACCCAATTCATCACGACCTGAACCAACACTGAGCTTTCTTTAGTGCAGCTGAACTAGCAGAGGAACACAATTTCTCCCTCATGTAGAGTTCACACAGTGAAGTGCACTTAAGTGTACTTCAAGTATACTGTTTTTAAACTAATAATGCTTTCAGTTTACTCCTTATGCACTTTTCAAAGATATACTTGAGATAAGTTAATGTTTACTATAGCTTGTACTAAGAATTATACTAAAAGTCTAAATATATTCAACCTGCACTTATACAAAAACTTTTAATCAAGATATACTTAAGAATAAGAATATAAATAAGAACTTGTGTCTTTGTGCCTTGGGTGTAAGTGTACTTGGTCAGTGAATACTTCCATATATCTTTTTAAGAGTAATCTCTTACAGACTATTCTCTTAAAAAGATAAGCAGTGCAAGCCAAGTATACAAATATGTATGTGCATATGTATGTGCTATGTAATAGCATACTAAAACGTAATTTTAATCATACTTTAGAGTCAGCGCACAGATACCCGAGTGGATTAAGAGACACCCTATGTTGGGGACTAACTACTTTCAAGTCCGCTTCAAGTGTACTTTAATAAACTGAATTGGGCCAATTTATTCACAATAAGTTTACTTGTAAGTACACTAGAAGTTTATTTGTATCAATGTACAAAGTATACTTTGAGAAGACTGACAAAATGAACTTCAGTATACTTCATAAAATGTACTTGAGGTAAACTTTTTTATTAAGGGTTGCTCAGCTGCATTTAGTCAGCTGTAAATAGGCTGAGTTTTCTCTTAAACATCCATTCATATGACTTCATGTTTGCCATACAAGCAGAGAGAGCAGTTGGGTCTGATCTGGTTCTTTGCTGCACGTCTTTCTCCTCTCAGAGTTTACTGTCAGACTTACCTGTCATGTGTAAAAACGTCTCTGATATAAAATGATTTTGAATCATGAAAATTGCAGCAGATGGTTAAAGGGAAGGTGAACTTTAGTTCCTGATCTAATGTGTCTGCTTTTATCTTCTTGTTTTATTGTACTGTTTTTATCTATCAAATGACCTTGAGTTTTCTTAAAGGCACTTATATATAAAAGTTTATTATTATTATTATAATTATTATTATTAGAATTAGCATGATTATTATGATTAACATCTGTGTGCATCTAAGCTATGTGGAGACTCTGATAATGCCCCATTTTGTCCTCTGAGACACTGAGGACCCTAAGCCTCTGTTGCTCCATGAAGATTTTATGTCTGGGCCAATCTTCATCGCAAGTATCACCTCGACGACAGATGTCAGCGAAATCAGTGACAGCCGATCATGCTGATCCCCCCCGTAATCATGTGCCATGATCCTGGTGTAACACGGAGCTGTGGGAAATATGTCCGTCAATACCATCGCCACAGGCAGACCCCTTCCCTCGACCACCACCTGCCCCCAGCCCCTCCCCACCCTTCCCCCTGCTTCCTCCTCCCTCCATGAGCTGCCGCTTTCTCTCTTGATCTCTCCATTAAGCCTCCTCCCTCCTGGCTGTCGAGACATTTTTCTGCAACCCCGCTGACCCCCAGAACAATAAAGCCAACACAGCAGGGCCAGAAACTGCAGTCCCTTCAGTGTCCACTATGTGTAATACATGTCTGCACAAGACAATCAACAGTTCGATACAAGTGATATTTACTTACTCTGGTTCATCAGACAGTATTTTTTTTTTACCAATTTTAATTAAAACACAAAACCAAGTTATCCAGACTGTTGTTTTGTCTAGTAGAAAAGGGTCTACACTGAGCGCTCTTACTTTTATCTATCTTATTAATAGCAGATTATTTCATGTAGGTGCGGAGCAGTTTTACCGTGAAGAATATAACATTATAATTTACACTCTGGCTTTGTAGAACTATTGTTGACATCATAATTGCTTTAGAAACAGTCACAGCTGAAGTCTCAGAACCTGCATTTCCTCTCCTGTCCTCTAGAGCTGTCTTCTGCAGGGGGTCAGTCCCAATAAAAAACTGTGTGTTTTTGTGTGTTTCTCTGCGTGTAGTGGTGTAAAGGGTGTGTTTTTGTGTGTGTGGTGTAGTCAGTGTGTTTCTGAGTGTGTGTAGCAGTGTTGTCAGTGTGTTTCTGAGTGTGTGTAGCAGTGTTGTCAATGTGTTTCTGAGTGTGTAGTGGTGTTGTTAGTGTGTTTCTGTGTGTGTGGTAGTGTTGTCGGTGTGCTTTTGAGTGTGTGGCAGTGTTTTCAGTGTGATTCTGTATGTGTGGTCATGTTGTTGGTGTGTTCCTGAGTGTGTGGCAGTGTTGTCAGTGTGATTTTGTGTATGTAGCTGTATTGTTGGTGTGTTTCTGTGTAAATGGCAGTGTTGTTGTTGTGTTTCTGAGTATATAACTGTAGTGTTGGTATGTTTCTGTGTGTTTGATGGCAGTGATAGTGTATATCTGTGTGTTGCTGTGTTATCAGTGTGTTTTTGCTTACCTTGTGTTTGTGGTCAAGTCATGCATGTCATAATGCTCAGAGAGGGCTGGACAGCTGCTGCCCCTGACCAGCCCTTCCTCCCTTTGGCCACAGTAACAGCTCAGTGTGTGTAAACACACACACACACACACTGGGCCTCCTGAATACAGAATGTGGCATATGCTCAGCTCGGGCAGCAGCATCAAACATTCTTGCAGAGCTCAGCTCTAAGTGGCTCCTCTACATGATGACCCTGGCAGGCACAAGGTTTCCAAACAATTTCAGGTTTTCGTGTTGAAACCTACATGAAACTAAAAACAGAGGAGGTCTGCATATTCGCACACGCTGCAGGCAGGCAGGCAGGCGGGCTGGGCTGCTGCTGTTCGCTCCAATGAAACCTTGACAAAGGTCACAAACAACATTGAGAATGGGGTCATTAAGAGAGCTCCATCATAAAAAGGAGACTCAGCTCTGATGAGGACTGCCGAGCAGCTAGCTTCATCATGTGTAGCGGCTCAGACATATGCTCCCACCATAATAAAAAAGCAGCATTATAGATGGCGGCAGAGTGGGTTCTTTCCACGTATGCAGTGGGTGCTCCTCTTTGCAGAAACTTTTTTAATAAAGGTATTTAATGCTGCAGTCATGATGGTGTTTCTTGCATAATATAATTTATAGAGGTTAGAGGTCCATAAAAGGAGACACAGTAAAATATTTCTATTATGTGGGGAATGTCGAAGCCTAATAAAGTCCTGAGGTTTATGGCTCCTAGGCTGTTGTTGTTCTCAGCTCTTTCTGAGTCTTTTCAAATTCTCTGAAAGTCTTAATGTGAGTGTTATAAACAGGAAATCTAGCGAGTCTTTTAAAAAGTGACTCTAAGGGCTTGACTTCTGACTGCATATAAAACAGACTTAGGAGAGATCAGACTTGTCCTTTTACCACCCGCTCTCCTCTCCTACTTTATGAAGGAGTGATCCGTCTTTCTTTAACTGAGCTGTAAAGGTTACACAGTCATTTAAGCAGCAGTTCACACAGATTGATGTTTATGTTGTTACAGCAGCCAATGAAACAAGCTGCTCTTCACTCTCGCCCAACATAAAGCAGAACGAGCTGCAAACAGCCCAGACTTACAGCTGCTGGGGGGAGTCAGAGCTGAGGAGAGGAAGATGGCTCTTATTACTGTCTGAACAGAGGTTTCCATGTGTTATAACTACAGCAGGCTGTTTATACTGAAACAGGCAGTGTCCAGATAATCAAAACCCTAAAAAACCTCTGTGCTTCATCAGCTTTCTATTCACTGACACTCTGAAAACCTTAGTGAACCAAGCAGACCACTTTCTGGACGAGTCAAGACTGCAGGCAGGCCAGTTTATCAGCGGGACTCTTCTACTATTGTTTATTGTTTGTTGATTTGCCATTATAAAGAACACACATTCATAAACATTTCTTCATGACTGAATTGGCAGAAGCAAAAGCTTATATGCCAAAAAAAATCTAAACAGTTATAATATTCAACCCAAAAAATTTCACTAAACACAAATAGAGTCAGAGTTTAACATTCAACAATTCCTCAGGAGGCTCAATCATAGCTTTCAAAGATGTTTTTGCAGATTTTGAAATTATTCAGCGACAGGCTCATTTTTCTCTTCGTCTTCTGTGTCGTTCCAGAACTTCAAGGTGGGGTAGGCAGGATTCCATTAAAGAAGTATCTTTTGTTGTGGTGTGTATACAAAAAGACTTTTTATATCAGTCAATAGCTATTAGTTATTGATGACATTTGGTAATATAATGATATCGCTGTATTTTGTTATGTTTGTGTGGTAAACATTTTAAAATTTTTTACTGTAAACACAGCCATTCTCCGCCTCCCCCAACCTGATTGGTTGTGAGGCGGATGCTGCTCCTTAGTGGTGATTGGTTGTGAGGCAGACACTGCTCCCCTGTGTCGTTCAGGAGCCCAAACAAAGTTAGCATGCTACAATATTGGACAGTAGAAACCAACCAGAAGGTATGGAAAATTGTCTGAATTCTCCTTTGGCCACGACTGCCAACACAAGCAAGAAAATGAAGTAAATACGGGAGACTCTGGTAGAATAACGGGGGCTTAAAAAGGAGGTAGACCAGACAAGAACAAAGAAACCGGGTCAACGTCAACATAAACGATGGGGGAGGCTTTGGGATTTTACGACCCCTGTAACCTTTCTGCTGGACAGGGGAACCACTTTAACAAAGTAAGCCAAGTGTCTGTAACAGAAGTGTTTCTTGTGAAACGGGACCTGCTGCGTGTTGTAGCACCACTAAACTGTTGACCTTTGGTCCTGGAGTATGCCACTTTATCCTGGGTGTAGAAGTTATGCAAACATTGTTTTTGCTGGTAGTCTGTTGGCATCTAAAGAAGCACAAATTCTTTTTATGTTCACATTGACTGGGCCCCATTTGTAAAGATCTGAAAGATTTATCTGCATTATTACCTCCGCCAAGGAGGTTATGTTTTTGGTAGCGTTGGTTTGTTTGTTTGTTTGTCTGTTAGCAACTTTAAGGAGAAAGTAACAGACGGATTGACCTGAAATTTTCACCAGAGGTGTGTCTCAGCCCCAGGAGGATCCCATTAAATTTTGGTGGTGATCTGGACAAAATTCTGGATACTGTGATCCAGAACACACAAAAATAAGGGTGTTGTTGGAATTTTCAATGCTGAAAGATAACCAATGGGCGGCACAGTGGTGTAAATAGGTGGCGCAGTGGTGTAATGGTTAACACTGTTGTCTCACAACCAGAAGGTCCTGGGTTCGGAACCTGGTCAGGGTATCTCTTGTTTTAGGAACAATATGAACAGTGAACACACCAGTTTAAACACAAACATTAATAAAAGACACGTAACAGTAAAACTTTTGGTGTGAATCAGAATATAAGGGGGGACATGAGCTGCTTGGCAGAGGTCTGCGCTCTCCGAGTGCTTTTCTAGTATCTAAATTTAATTGAAACAATGCGAGCAAGCAGGAGCGTCTGTTTGTGGGTGGGGCTTGTTGGAGCAGAGATGGAGGGAAGAGGAGGAGCTGAGGGGAAAATTGGTTAGGAGGGGTAGTGTGTACATTCAAGATTACTCCCAAAAAAAGGCACTTCGTCAGATCCTACCTATTCCACTCCCAAAGCTCTTTTTTCGTGTCCACTGCGGACGCGGCGGAGGGTGGCGGACCCCGCGCAGTGGTATTTACGTCCGGCGTACAGCCAGTTTGGTATTTTCGTAGACTGAGGCGCCCTGAGGTCCGCCAAGCTGGGGGTAGTGGCGTGGCAGGGGGAGGTGTTGACAGAATCAGCTGGCGCAGTGACATTTTTGTGCTCGCCGCCGGCGTGTAAAGTATGCTGAAAGCTCGCCGACTCAAACCTGGTCAGCTTTCAGCACAGGCAGAGCTTTCAGCTGGTGTAGTGGTATTTTGGTTGACCGGCGGCATATCGGCATACGTCACCGATGCCTCATCAGCAGGTTGGTTCCACAGTGTCAGGCACATTTCAGTGCAATAAATAATCAACAACTAAGAATCTGAGTCAGCACATACATTTAGATCTATATATATTCTGATCTATATCTGATCTGATGAGAACGTTTGGCACGCGTTTAGACACACAACCTGACCGCTGAAACCGCATTCAATTAAATATCTAGTAAATAGACACACTCATTTCCCTCCTTTTCTATCTTCCTCTTCCTCTTATTTCTCGCCCAGCTCGACCTGGACATGTCTCTATGTCCTCTCCCTGTCCTGCTGCAGCTGGGGCGGCTGAACAGATGATTAGTTCAGTGATCAGATGAGTTTTTTACTTTAAGCCTACATACGAATATTATAATATTCAGTTCTGTGAGCCAAATTTATTTTATATGCCAACATCTATGAAAGAAAGAGCCAGGCCATGGCGCGCAATGCATCTTTTACGCACAGATGGTTCCAATTTTAATGCCATTATTGGAATTTATGTTGTGATCTGTGCGCACAACCCACCTTTATCATGTGAGGTTTGAATATGTGCAACTTTATGTGAGTGTCTTTATTTGTGGAAAAGGATGTTTGTCTTACTAGTGGTTCCAACATTACACACACCAAATCCATCTGTACTTATATGAGACAGTGTGAAGGACGTCCTCTGCATTGCTTACAGCGACAATTGTTGAGGGGCTGCCTTCTGTTGCTATCGTGTGGCATTGCTGTCTTCAGACATCTCTTGATCTCTTTGACTACTTCACGAAAATTGTAATACGCCTTGCCGGTGGCGGATTTGAAGGCGAGGAGAGGGGGTGATGTTATTGGACAATACAGGTCTCGGCTGTGTTAAACCCACTCCACGCCCTCTCTCCTCCCTCGCTACGACTTACGCCGCTGGGAGGAGCTGAGATAGGGAGGGGGGATACTTAGGCTGGGCTGCGCCGCTCACCAAATACCAAATTGTGCTTGGGAACACCTTGTCGGTGCAGCGGACCTGACTCATGCCGCGCCTGTGCCACGTCTCCGGTGAAGCACGAAAATAGAGCCCCAAGGGTTGACATGCATTTTGCTTTGACTGCTTTTTTAAGTTTTGGGAACAAAATTTTACAGGTATCTCTTAACTCATCTTTAAACATTAGAGGTGTGGTGAGACGCCTCCACTTCCTGCTTTATTTTGGTTTAACTTCCTGTTTTCCTTGCTACCCTGGTCTGGCTTGACTGCTTCCAAAACACGCTCCCTCTCCCTGGTTGCTGAGGCTGAGCGAGACTCCACACCTGCGCTGCATCTACAATCAAGGCCCTTTAAGAAGCCAGCAGCCCTCAGTTTCAGCGCCTGAGTATTGTCTTCGCTCCTGAGCGGTAGAGACGCCTCTCCTGGCCCATATATACAACATCTGGTATAATTCAGATGTTGTTTCCATGTCAGTTTGAAGTCGATTACAACTCCTAAAAATTTGGTCTCAAACACTCTTTCTATTTCTGTATCACTGACTTTTCTTTGTTTCCAAAAAAACATGAACTTTATATATATATATATTTTTTGTATTCAAGAGACAGGAAAAAAAAAAATGATGCTCTTGAACCGAGAGGTTGCTGCAAGTCTGTTCTCTGCATTATCTGTAATTTTTGCTAGATTTTTTTTCATATTTTTGTTGTCATTTTGTTAGCTGCTGATGGATACTTCCGCTGGGTGAAGAGTTTACTCAAGAGAAGAGCTCCTTTCATTGAGGAAAAGCAAATCTGGACAACAACATACAATTCCAGAAGACATCAGGAGGTGTTATCGTGCTATCATGCTTGCTGTGCTGGTGCAAAGGTGAAGGCAAAGCTAAATGCTAGGAGGTGGTGATATAAACCCTTTCTTCTATCAGTCATCATGGGAAACGTCAACTCTCTGCCCGGTTCGTAAATACATCAATGATGCGATTATAATCCATTGCTTAATGGATAAAGCCTTGGCCTGGTATGAAAGTCGAAATCAGAAGATGGACACCTCGAGCCAGTGAAGCTCTGAGGGACTGTTTTAAATCAACAGACTGGATTGTGCTGTTGGAAACAGATGTGGATAGTATGAACATTGATAAACAGGTTGACTGCTTTACTGATTATGACAACTTCTGTGGAGACACAGCCATACCCACAAAAACTGTTCGCTGTTTCCCCAACAACAAACCCTGGATCACAAGAGACATAAAAGCAATCCTTAACCAGAAAAAGAAAGCTCTTAAAGATGGTGACAAAGAACGACTCAAACAAGTGCAACAAGAGTTGAAGAGGAGACTGAAGATAGCAAAGCTGGAGTACACAAAGAAGATAGAGAAGAATCTACAACACGGCAACATCCATGAAGTGTGGAGAGGAATCAGTACCATCTCTGGACACAGCAATAAAAAGAAAAGACAGCCAGTGGTGGGTGATGTGGAAAGAGCTGATGAACTCAACCGGTTCTTCAACAGATTTGACACTGCTGTCACACCCACTTTCACTGCTACCCCACCTTCCTCTCTGCAACAAATCTCCATTACAACTTCTCCCCATTCCTCCTCCATCTTGGTAATATGTCTCAACCACTTCAACTGCCTCCCTCGTAGAACACCAGTCCTTGTCTGTCACCAAAACAGGGGTGAGGATGGAGCTTGGAAGACTTTGTCCTGGGAAGGCAGCTGGTCCAGGTGGTGTGTGTCCAAGGCTGCTTAAAGACTGTGCTGCAGAACTATGTCAACCTCTCCACAGGATCTTCAACCTGAGTCTACAGCTGGGGCAGCTCTATGGAAAACATCCTGCATTGTGCCAGTACCAAAAAAAAAATGTCCTGCTGAACTCAATGACTACAGACCAGTGGCCCTCACTTCACAAAACAGGAAAACCCTGACAGGAAGGCCACAGTTTGTCAGGCTGGGACACTGTGTTTCTGGGACATTAATGAGCAGTACAGGGGCTCCACAAGGGACAGTGCTGGCGCCATTCCTGTTCACACTGTATACATCAGACTTCAAATACAGCACTGAGTCCTGCCACATCCAGAAATACTCAGATGACATTGCTATTGTGGCATGTATCAGAAATGGATAAGAAGCTGAATAAAGAGATCTGATAAGAGCCTTCAGTGACTGGAGTCACAAAATCTGCCTCCTTCTCAACACCTCAAAGACAAAGGAGATGGTCATAGACTTCCGTAGATCCAAACCCCCTCTTCAGCCAGTTAACAACTATGGAGTGGACATCGAAGTGGTGACATCATATAAATACCTTGGTTTCATACACTTCATCTACAGAAAGGGGCAGAGCCGCCTCTTTTGCCTGAGAAGACTCCAATCAATCGACATCTGTAGTAAGATGCTGCAGGACCTCTCTGGGAGGAGCGCTCCGGGACCTCTTTGATTGGATCTGGGACCTATTTCAGCCGCTCCGGCACCTGTTTGATCTGCTCCGGGACCTTCCCTGTCAATGAATAAACTGTGTTTTTATGTATGTTTTCTCTGTGTTTTATTACTCTCTGAAGTGACGCCTGTTGGCCTATTTTTTATGCATTTTACTCAGAAATTATGTAAAACGGGGAAAAAGTGATTTATGCCGTCACGTGTCACAACGCAATGTGCATTGGGATGGTTTTGTTTTGGCACCGGCACTGCTTGCAAATAGGTAAACAACATGGTGTGCCAAATGTTGCTGCAAATGTTATACTAGGTAGGTGTCAAAATTAAGGTGAAAAAGACAATAAAAACGCATTAAAAACCCGAGAAAAAAGCATATTTTTACGGCGCACGCTTTTTTCTGGTACTTAAATTGTGTATATTGTATATAGTTTTATTTTCTTCTCCCTTTTTGTAGCGTGTGGTGTATTTTGAGGACCCAGCAGCAGACACAGAGGCAGATAGCAAATTAAGATGTAATTTTAATGTCCAAACTCAGTGGTAAAGTTGGCTGGCTGGCTGTTCTGTGGGCTGGAGACACTGCGGAGAAAACAGAGGAGATGGAAGTGAGTAGACATACAATGAATTACAGGAAGCAAAGTTACAAGCACTTATTCAAAAGGAAGGCCAGGAGATGCGTCTGTACCACTCGGGAGTAAAGACAATACTCAGATGATGAGACTGAGGGCTGCTGGCTTCTTATAGTGCCTTAATTGCAGATTCAGTGCAGGTGTGGAGTCTCACTCAGCCTCAGCAACCGGGGAGGGGGAGGGTGCTCTGGAAAAGAGTGAAGCCAGACCAGGGAAACAAAGAAAAACAGGAAGTCCAACCAAAATAAAACAAAAGGAGGAGGCGACTCACCACACTTTTTCCTTTTTCTAAATTTTTTCTTAATTAGAACATTTATTTAAGTTCTTAATATACAACCTTTATTTTTATAACTGCATTTTTGCATTTTGTGATTCTTCTGTGACAGGGATTTCAGGGACTCCACTTCTGGAAGAACACTAACAGTCAAGAACTTAGAAAAATAATTAAATGTTTATTACAGGATAAATGATAGTACAACACATACAAGCAATAAATGATGATAAGATAATGAGGATAAAATAATAATAGGTGAATAAATAAAGATTCTGAGTCAGGCTAGGAGCACTAAAGTTAATGATAGTGAGTGAATATGCGCTAACATATTAACCTACACTAACTTTGGTGTCGAGATAAACTCGGATGTGGATTTGGAGGAATCTAAGATTACCAGAATAAGTGGATATCTGAGTTATGAACGCAGGAGACAGCACCAGCCCTCTTTGGAGCTCTGGAGGTTTGCATACTTAAGTGAGACTGGTCCTTGGAGAAGATGGAGCAGGTTCCGAAGGTCCGGGGCTACTGGCGGTTCGAGCGGTTCAGCTCAGAAGACGACTGAAGTCAGCCGAAGGATGAGCCAGGAGTTGCAGCACTCGGGCCCGAAGCAAAGCCAGCGCCTGTGGATCCTGTGGATGCTCGTTTGGGTACTTCTTTGGTCTCACTCAAATAAACTCTGGCACAGAGGATGACCTGGGCCTGCTGGGTTGCGTTCAGAGGTGACTTTGAAAATCACGCAGATAACTCAGAAAAACGAGACTCGAGCAGAGAAAACTTTCAAAAATGGCTTCGCGAAATTAAAGAAAAATCAATCAAAGGCTTAATCTTGAATTGCTATGCGCACAAAAAGTTGAAGTTTCAAAACTTGAACTAAGACGATGTTAAAGAAAAATCAACGTGAATCAACACGTGGCGTAAAACTTAGTAGACTAAGAAAATGTTCTAAGCGAAAACAAAGAAACGCACCACAGAAGGGTGTGAGCAGAAGAGAAAAAGGGGAGAAGAATCAGCATACAAGAGCAGAAGCATAAGAGTGAACAAGAGAGTGAGCAACCCCACTTCACTGGTTTTATCTTCTCACACTGGGAGTGTTTCCGGGGTGTGTGTGTGAGGAGAAAGGAGGGGTCGTGGAATCTCTGATTATTTAATCTAACTTATTCTTTTGGCTGGTAAAAGAGTCAGATCTGATACTCACTCACTATGATTAATATCATTGAATGCTAGGTTTCATGATAAATAATTTGATACTAAACACATATGAATGAAGTGTAGGATCACATCAAACATTCTCATTATGTTTTAAGTATCACATTGAACATGCTAAATTACTCTGAAATGAAACAGATAGTAACACATGGAAACTGTGAACAACAAAAGAGTAAATACATGTGAATGAACTTCATCATGATTAATAATGGATTCTAAATACTCACATCCAGATTATTCAATGACATTATAACCACCTAATGGTTAAAAATACTAAATAAACATCTACAATATAAACCAAACATTTCTAAACTATTTCTGTGTTCATAGAGTAAGTTATGATCCATAGTCAATAAATTTAACTCTTAACAGTTCATGAAACAGTCTGAAAAGCTGTTGGTCTAAAGAAACTAAAGAATAAAGGATTTATTCTATCAGATTGATAACTCGGCTTCTGAAGCACATAGAAAAATGGGAAACATCTCATTTTAACACAAATTTCATGATTAGACAGATTAGTACATTGCTGAATGCATAAGATGTCATGATCAGTCATTTGTATTCTTTCACCAAAGGAATGTAGTCTTTATCAGTGTATGGTCGAGCAGGGTTTTACGACCGAGGTCTGGAGGTCAGTGTCCCCCCTTTTCCTGGGGTCCGTATGTTCCCACACTTTAAGACGCTAAATCTCAAATGGGAGATCTGGGTTGAGGTTAATGTTTATTTAGATGGTCAGCGATGGAGTCAGTTTGAAAGGTAATAAAAACTCTGTCTCTGTTCTCCGAATCGACCAATCGTGAAGAGTCAGAGGTTTAGTCAACCTCCGGTTGGGTCACTTATTCAACCTGAAAGTGTAAACGAGTTTGGAAAGATTTATATCCTGTTTCCTGGGACCAGATAAGGAAACTTTCCTGTGAGGAATGTGTGAGTTTCACACCCAGGGTTGTCTTGATTGCTACACGCTGCTGCGCATGTCTACCCTTCAAGCCGGGAGCGCGGATACGTCATTTTGTAACATTCTGTAGTTTTTTAATCATCATACCTGTCTGCCTCTGATAGGCTATTAAAGCAATCGGATTCATGCTTGGATCTTGCCACATGCTTTGTGAGTAAAGTAAACATGACGGAGGCGGTGAGCAGCTTCATCGGAGAAGCATCAAGCAGTGTAAACAATCACTTCATATTGAGTGTTTTGGCTCAGACTATCGATGTTTTCTGTGAGTGTTGCATGACTTTGGGTGAGCACAGAGATTAACCCACTGTCAGCAAAGGCTTCACAATAAAAAATAACTAAAAAACATGTGGCAGGGGAGTTAAAAGGAGAAAAGGAGTCAAATAGCTATTGGTTACAAACACAGTATATCTGGATGTTTCACAGGTTTTATTTGTGAATAGTTATTTTTGAAATTTAGTTCATGAGTGAGTGAAGAGGAAAAGACAGGAGATGACCTATAATATTCAAAAGCAGAAGAAGAGGCATGACAAGACAAGAGGACAGCTCTGAAATGTATTTGAAGAATGAGGAAGACAAAGGAGAGGAAGGAGTGAAGAGAAAGTGAGGGGAAAAAATGAACAGAAATGGAAATCACAAAAACTTTCGGAGAAAGCAAAAGAGGAGAGACAGCAGGTGAAAAAAGGTTGAGAATAAAAGATTGAAGAACAGAGCAATAAAGGACAGCAGAGGTGACAGCCAGGATCACAGGTATAGCAGTAAGGAAATAAGATGCATTTTATTGTACTTTATTTCACATCTTTAATTTGTGACCAGTCTGAATAACTTTTTTGTTTTACATTTTCTTCTTTCAGTGGACGTAAGGCATATGTTCATGACATAAGACAGTGACTTCAACAAGGCTAGTGGTAGACATTTGCATCATTAAAGGGTCTGAATTTTTAAGTGTTCTCCTCCATGTCTTTTGTCGGCTTTGAACTGGTGGTAAGTTGAAGCAAAAAAAAATTGTAGTGCCTTGTATCAAAAAATGAAGGAAAAAGTAAATCGGCATCTGCACCCTCAGGGTTCAGCCCCTGATCGCCTAGAATCCTAAATCCGCCCCTGGTGGACGGCTCCTCTCTCTTTGCTGCAGGACAGAAAGATTCAGAAGATCTTGTGTATCAACAGCCATTAGACTTTATAACTCTTTTTTTAAATAGTAGATAACTGTTAGAGACGTATTTTGTGAGACAACAGAAAATTGAATGTCCCTTCAGGGATTAATAAAGTTATTCTTATTCTTATTCTATTTACATCAAACCACACTTGGAGCTTTTCCAATTCAGTTTCAGTTTTTTGAGCAATTTTCTTAAAGCCTTATCAGAACAAAAAAGATATGTGTCATCTGCAAAAATTCTGAATTATGAACAATTTTGGTCCAATAATTGATCCTTTTGGTATTCCACAGGTAATTGCTTTAAGCTCTGAAAAATTATCATAAATTTGTTGTCTATTTTCTAAATAACTTTTGATCCATTAATGGGCTTTTCCTGTAATTCCATACATTTCAGATTTTTTTAGTAGATTATTGTGATCTATGGCGTCGAAAGCTTTTTTAAGTCTATATACATTGCAATTAAATATTCATTATCGTCTATTGCTTTTGCTGCTTCCTCTACCATTTCCATGACTCCATGTGTGGTCGTCCTGTTAACTCGGAATTCATACTGATGTTCACTTAAGAGTTTATTTTTCATATATTTATCCAACTGTATTTATCCAACAAATATGTTGTCTTTGAGAACTGCTTATCGCCACCTTTAAACATAAGTATCACTTTTTCCAAATTTCATTTGGAAAAAATTCTGTCTGAAAAGATCGGTTGATAATATGAGTCAGAGGTTTTGCAATCATTTCTATAACTTCTATAACTATTTCCATATCTTGTAAGTTTACATCAGTTGATATTTTGCTTTTAAATGTTCTAACTACCTTAATGACATCCTTTTCACTTTTCCACATAAAAACATTGATTGCACTTGTACATTTACACTTTCCTTAAACACATTTTTTTTATTTCCAGGTACCTCAATGGTTCCTGCCAGTCCTTGTCCAATAGTCACAAAATAACCATTAAACTCCTCTGCACTAAATTGAGATTTTTTTCTTTAGTCATTGAATCTTTCACTGTATTATTTGGATATTTGGTTTCATGTCTATCCTGCCTTAATACTTGATTGATTACATTCCATGTCCTTCAGAGATTTCCTTTATTACACTCAAACTCTCTATTGTAATATTGTTTCTTTTGTGTTCTTACTAGTGATGCAAGTTTGTTATTTGAAATTCTCTCATTTTCACTTGTTCTGCTTTAAAGAAATTTCTTGTACAGTAAGCTTTTATTATTGCAAGCCCTTTGTAAACCTTTAGTGATCCAAGGCCTTTTTGTATTATTATTTCCCCTCCTTTCTATAAGTGGACAGTGTTTATTGTACAGCTCCTCCCATTTTAACAAAAATACACCATGCGATTGACCAGGGTCATCAACATACACTTCATCCCAAATACAATTCTTCAGCAAGAGACTTAATGCTTTCAGGTGTTTTTAACATCTTTAATTTAATGGGGGAGCATGATACATCTGCTGCATACCCTCAAATCGTTGGACTGTAAATACAGGTAAATGGTCAGTGATATCATTAGCAATCCAGTGGTCTTTTTGTCCAGGTAAATCCTGAGCAGCCAGCTCCGCCTTTATGCCCACACATCAGTTGTCTCTTGTGGTAAATACCATCCCACCTTGCGGTATCTTGCAGTATCTTCAGTATCTTGCAGTTCCTCACGGTATCGCTTTGACCAGTAATAGTCGAGTGTTTTGGTAACATCATGCAGTCACGTGTGTTGGTGCGACCAACTGAGTATAGTTTGTAGACGCTGCACCTCAGTCAGAGGAGAAGAAGTGGGGAAGTGGCATGAGCAACAAACTAAAGTAGCCTTCTATTGTGCCTTTACCTGTGTACTCAACACTGTGAAGAACGTTTTGTGTGGCACTTACCTTGGACAGGCCAGGTCCACAATAAATGGCGAGCCAAGGAGCAGGCCTAGGGCCTACATCACTATTCAGTCTCATCTGTCTGAATTAGGACTGTCCTGCCTTTGGTCAGCCATTCTGGGTGGGTCCCATCTCTCAGCAGTTGGTTAATTTTTGCTGCCAGGCACTCATTCACAGGCCTGGTGCCCTCCAGTCCTTCAAACCTGAGCCTTTTTTTTTGGATGCTCCTGCTGCTATGATGGTCACAGCATGTTGTTCAGGGAGATTGATGTGGTCTACTCTTAGATCAGTTAGCCACTGTGCATCATTGTTATGTAATGCTTCTTTACATTTGCCTTTACATTATTCTTCAGTCTCCAGCCTTGGTGGATTAGCTCATGTTATTACCCTGCTACTAAGAGTACACTTTGGCTGGTTCAGTGGAGAACCGTTGGTTTATTTGCCTGGCCTCTGTCTCTATTGTGTACTTCTTCATTCGGGTGGCCAAGGCTTGGAGTCTTTGTTTAGCAGTTTCCAAGGCCTCAGGTATGGGCATCTGTCTGTACCTCTTTTCTGGAGTTCTGACAATTGGCTGACCTCTCTCTCTCTCTCTCTCTCTCATTATATATATATATATATATATATATATATATATATATATATATATGGTGGGCACTGCCCTTATTCTCCTTGGCATTCACTTTATGTTGAAGGGATCACTGTTGCCATACTGTACATCAGCTCATTGTTCTCAGTGATGTTTGCAGTGAGAATCATTCGTATCACTGCATTCACATTGGCTAGGATCTGTGGACATACTTCACTAATCCTTGCTAGTTGGTATCGGGGTTGACAGGTGCTCATCTTAGCTATGATCTTATGATCTATCATAAACTCCCCTATCTGACCTGGCATCCTGGCTCCCCCTTGCGGTAGCATTAACGTGATGTATCTCCTCAATCGCTAGTTGTGATAGAAGCTGCTGTTTGTGAATTTTGTAGCACTGAGCTACTAGCTGTTTTGATAGCATTGACTGTGGGTTTTGAAGCAACCATATATCCCTCAGCCTGTTCATGTAACCCCCCTAGCTAGGGTTACTGGATAAGTAGCATTCCAACAGAGCCTTAGGCTACATTCCGACTGCACTGTGCAGTTCCCTGCTACGTGGACTACACAAGGTATATAGACATAGACAGAATATGATGGAGCCAGAACAAGAATTCATTTCAGTCAGGATCACTTAAGTCAAAATTAATTATTTATTACAAGCAAACGTTTTTACTTTGGTGGTATGGCTCTGTTCTGAGGGTTCCCTGCCCTTCCATGTGCTTGCACAGAATGGCTCTAAGAGGGGAGAGCTCCTCCCTTCCCTTTCATGTGCATACATGAGGAGCCAGGCAGAGAAGCAGTCGCAAATAAATTCGATTAAGATAAATAAATAAAACTCTCCCAAAACACCATATCATGCCACGGCTATAAGGAGGGGAGAGCTCCTCCCCTCCTTTTCATGTGCAAACATGAGAGCCAAGGCAGTAGCAAAATAAATACGATTAAGATAAATACATTAAAATCCCCCAAAACAACTATACAATGCCCGGCTATAAGAGGGGAGAGCTACTCCCCTCCTTTTCATGTGCATGCATACATGAAAGCCAAAGCAGCAGCAAATAAATATGATTAACATAAATAAATCAAAAGCCTCCAGAACACCCATACCAGGCAACCCTCCCCAGCTTCATGAGCTACATGAAAGCACCTACAGGGGAGGGAGAGCAGCAGCAAGAAACTATGAAGCAACCTACCCACCTCCAAAGCTTGTGTAGTATAGGGTACCCTCAAACATGATCGTGGAACAGGATTCATTTCGTCCATACACATATTTATAATTGGAAATATTCTTAAGAATACCATATATATTGGACAGAGTTATGGCGCAGCAGCATTTTTCTGGTAATGGTGGTCTGAGTCCCTGTGAATGCACTTCAGCAGTGTAATGAACCAATGGGACCACTGACCCATTGCCTTGAGCGTTGAGAAGGGGACAATAGAGGACGCCGTTGCAGCTGCATCTATGTGTAGAGTCGCGCTCGGGTGGGAGCAAGCAGGATTGGCAGAGCAGGCAAAGGTGAGCAGGAACCATGATCTGGATATAGGTTTCCCTTCTTCGGTGGCAGAGAGACGCTCTTGCTAGCTGGCCAGTGGCTGGCCTTTCAGGCAGCGGGACATGGAGGACGAAGGACAAAGTCAGAGCTAGTTCGAGAAATAAATAAATATGAATAGATGGGTTTTCAAGCAGACTGGTGGTGGATGGTTCAGACAGCGCAGATGGAACTGAATATCCCCTACAAGTCCTTTAATTTTGCGAGATTCAAAACAGTGGACTATTAATGCACATACAATTGATATATTTACAGCACTGGAGCTTCAGAGAAGGTGGTACAAAAGAGGTAAAGTGAGACCATGCAGAATTATATTAACTTAAATGCTGATTTTGCTTAACCAGCTCTCGTATAGCAGGCTGCAGAGAGGACATAAGTTTGCAAGACTGCGCTCAGACTAACACAGTCTGAATGAATGGGGAACAGGTCAGGCTGGATGGCGCTGTCTCCGGGCACAACTGGCGGAGTTTTTGAAGATTGAATTGGGACAGGAATCAGTATTTTGGTTTTCCTAGCCTGGAATATGGACTGCTCAAATAATGAAATTTACCCAAGACAGGTAAGGCGCCTCATAAACCTATTATTAAATGGAACTGAAGAGTGCCCTTGTTAATGATTTTAACGGTTGCCTCATTGTCACGAAAAGAAAATCTGTTTCCTGGACCAATGTTTACCCCATAGGAGGCCAGATATGACAACTGGATACAGGAGGAGAGCAGTTGAAGACATGTTTTTTGGCAGAGAAGACAGTTCATTTGGCCAAATATCAGCAACCATTGATTATTAAATTATTAAATGGTGCTGTGACTCGAGTATTTATGCGTAGCTATGCCTGAAGGATTAATGCTGGTAATTGAAGGGTGACTTAGCATAGCGGCCAAATGTGAATACTTTCTTAACCTCCTATCAATCAACTATTTCAGGATCTTTCATTGCAGATTATAAATTTATTTTTACACACAAACAACACTTTTGGCAGACAGACCAAACCTGCTAGGAACCCCTAAATCAAATAATTCACAAACAGCAGTTGGGATGCTTTGCCAGTGCCTTCCCCAGCTCAGGGATATTTGACAGCGTAAACAGCTTTATTCTTCTTTTTTACAAGACAGGTACGTCTTGGGCGTGCTGATTTTTTAGATAACCATCCCTGTAGTAACTTGGCCTTGCCGAGTTGTAGACTTAAAAGAAGCTTGTGTAGGGGAATCTCTTCATACAGTTAGGTTAAGAAATGTAGAGTAATTATATTTTAGTAAGAAGCTACAAAGAATCTAGGTTGGCCTGCTCCTGCAGCCCCACGACCATGAGATTGTAAGCAAGGCTGTCTTGCAGGAGCCCAAACTATCTGTCTGTTGGAACATGTAATCTCTGCCAGGGTCAAGACGAACCTAAACAAAGTGTCGTGGGGCAGACATGTCATCGTGAGGGGCCTTCTGGAGAAGTCACACACACACACACACACACACACACACACACACACATATAACAGCATAAAAGAGAGTAGAAGTAAAGCTAGAGAGGCTTCCTTGGGTCTTGGTCGAGACTCTGTTTGTCATCTGTACTGATTTCTACATCTGTACTATTAAAGTGCCCAGGCTGTTCTTCAGATCTCATCATGTCTCCTGTGCATTGTTTATGCTGGACTTTCCACAACATAATTGGCGAGCTTTAGCCAGAATTCGTTTCGGGGGACAAGGGACCATGGGTCTGCGAACTTCACATGGGATAAGGACACTCTGTGGCCACAAAAAGAAAAAGGTAGGATATTTCCTAAAATTTGGTTGAGAGTTCTTCTCCCTGTGAGGTGGTGCGGACTACTGTTCTCTGTCCTCTTCGAATCAAAGAACCTAGAATAGAAATAAGAGGAGACAGTGGAAATGAAGACAGTCTGAGAAAACTGCATGCATGCAGTCAGCTGATCAAAGTGTTAGGGAAAATTTGGGAAAGGAAGCCAATTTAAATTGGATATATATCAGCTGAATATAGGGGAAACTGCAGTTGGTTGTGTCAGATCGCCTCACGCTGCTACATGCGTGAGACTAGAAGATAGTAGACTGGGTGCAGAGAAGCACTTCGTCTCCTTCAAAGGGTGAGATTGCCTCACGCTGTTACGTGTGTGAGATTGCCACATGTGAAGCTATAGGCTGCATGTGTGAGATGCCATATGTAGAGCTATAGGCTGCTGCATGTGTGAGATGCCATATGTAGAGCTATAGGCTGCTGCATGTGAGGAATGCCATATGTAGAGCTATAGGCTGCTGCATGTGAGGGATGCCATATGTAGAGCTATAGGCTGCTGCATGTGTGAGATGCCATATGTAGAGCTATAGGCTGCTGCATGTGTGAGATGCCATATGTAGAAGCTATAGGCTGTTACATGTGTGAGAAGCTATAGGCTGGGTGCAGAAGCACTTCGTCTTCTTTAAAGGGTGAGACCGCCTCACGCTGCTATAAGTGTGAGATTGTCATATGTGAAGCTATAGGCTGGGTGCAGAAAAGCACTGGCCAGTAGCTTGGGGAGACAGCCGGGCCCGGGTTGTGATGTGTTTTTTTTTAGGCTGAATGCCTGGAGATAAAATGGTTCTGGGTAATTTTTGGGATAACAAGGGGAGCGTCAGACACGAGTGTGTCTGTCCATTGTTGAACTGTGAGTTTTAGACCATCTTTCATGAGCTCTGAAAGGTGGCAGCCGATGGACGAGCAGATTCATCTCGTAATACATACGTGGATTTTCTTTCTGGAAAACTCGAAAACTAGAAAGGAGGATTTGTCATGCGGAGTTCCGCTGAGGCTTAAGAAAAAGCCAAAAGGAGAACGAAAGTGGCATATTTCCTCATAAATTCTGATCCAGAACTCTAGAGGGCCGAATAAGTATAATGACGGAATAGTAGATATTTGAAATGCACATATATATATATTTCTTTTATATGTCAAAGACCTCACAAAATCAGTGTTATAATTGGACTTAAATTACAGACACAGATTGGCTTGATGAGCAGGAGATAGAAAAAGAAGTCAATAAGGATAGGCTGAAAAGCCTATTCAGGGATCCCAATTGAACAAGCACGTCCCATATCTCCTGACCAATTGTAGAAGAATCACACAAATTGAAAAAATCACACAAATTGGAAAAAATTGAAGAAATCAAAACAAGAATTAAAATAGAAGACTGCTGACTGACTCCAGTGACTGACTTTGACTTCAAACACGTGTGAAAGGGTATACCATTGTGTGATGAAAAAGTGAAGTGTGTGGGTTGATTGGATGTTTGTGTGTGTCTGTTTTGTTCTGTGTCAACTAAGTTCTCTGGCAGTGTTCACAGCCAGACTGCATCTGTGTGTGTGTTATGCTAGTCAAAGATTGCTGTGTTTTCCTCACTTGTGTTTATTTCATAGTTGTGTATGTGAATACTGTGCTCATTGCGGTCATGTTATCAGTTGAGACATAGAAGGTTAAACACTCCTGGGAAAGAGGTTCTGTTCCTAGTACCATGATGAACACTCCTGATATGAAGGTTTAGCTTATGCTCAAATATTATGTTTTTTTGTTGTGAACACATGTCTTATGCTCCTTAACAAATTTTCTGTGTTAAAGCTCCTGAAATAATGTTTGTAAAAGTATAAAAGATACAAAAGGGGGAAAAAGAAATGAGGTACCACAAGTGCAAAACTTCTAAAACTTCAAATCTAAGAGTTGCTTCTGTAAATCTGCTGTTTTTGCCAAAATACTGTGTTTTTTAAATATTATTGAAGCTGTTAATATCAACACTGATTATTGCTATAGAACTGCAGTTAAGGCAAAAGCTTTATACTGTGTATTTTTGGGGAATTTTACAAAACTGCTGGGGATCAAGTTTTAATGTGTGTGTTCATTGGAATAATAAATTTTACAAAAACCATGACCAGAAAGGGAAGATTAGTTTAACTCCAATTGCATTGGTAGGGTGTAAATATACTGAACACTTAAGTGATATCCAAAAACTTACAAAGAAATGGGAACATTGAGTCAAGGGGTTTGAATTTTTATGACCTAGGGGAGGCACATCTGATGTGACTGTGTGTGAGGATTTGGAGCAGTGAATCTAAGACCATAAACACAAAGATAAAAGTAAAACACGCAAAAACAAGAGATATGGAACTAAAAGTAGTGGACATGTTCAAAGGTTTTTGTCATTCTTATACTTTAGAGTCCAATTTTAGATTTTAAGTCATACTGTGACCTTTTTGAACCTGATTTCAACGTTCTTCTTGTGTATTTGCTCTTTAAATGCATTACTTTTCTCTTTTTAAATCATGCTCTGATCTTTTGAACTAATAAAAAAGAATAGAATAAAAACTACATTTTTTCTATCTTAGGTTGCCTTTAAACTTATTATTATTATTATTATTTTCTTATTTATCTCTTTTGAATTTCCAAATGATTTATAATCATTGCTATTTTTTCCCCATATGTTTTGAAAAGGAAATTGACAGTTTTGGTGAAATGTTGACCCTCTTTGGCCCTGAGGTTAGACCTAAATCCAGATTATGGCCCTTGCTGTGGTTGAGTTTGACACCCCTGGCCTAGATTATGTTCGCTTGGAAATGCACTGATAGTATGTTTTCAATCTTAAGAAATGGCACACAGGCGAGCTATGTGCTGTGGAAAACCACACACCTTGTTGGGCTGATTGCCAGACTACCACAAACTGAACAGGGGGCAGGGAGATGGATATCGGTTTTTGAGGATGAACTGTAAAGAAAATGTTGACTACACCAGACATGAAAGCACTCTTGGCTAAACTGCTGGGAACTAAGACGATGGAGGAGTTTCTGCACAAGGCAAAACAAGGTTGGCTGATGAATCCCATGATAGATGGGAGTGAGTTCAATGCATATTGTGATGTGATGTGGAGGGTGCTCCCAGATGAAGAGCGGAGACTGAAAGAACAGGAAAGAACATTCAGCGGAAGTTGAAACAGCCACCTCTAAGGAAGACACCGCAAAAGAGACCCAGCGATGCAGACCGTGCAGATGCTAACTGCGGTAAAACCTGTGACAGTAACCTGTTTAATCACCTGTTGTGAATGTTTATCCTCAGACAGAACCCTGCTCCATAGAGAGGATATATCCTGGCAGGGGGAGAGAGTGGAATTCTGACGGACGTGTGACGTCTAAAGACCTGCTGGGGATGTGATCATACCGGACATTTTTGACAACTGCCCAGACCAGGGACGTCTCTGGCTGGAGCTGTGGTGGGGGGCCCCGGCCCAGACAATGTGAAAGTGGTGGCTTACTACAGTGTGATTTTTGCGGATGATGGAAAAAGTTAATTGTTAGTTTTAATTTTAACCCTGTTGACCTTATAGACCAAAGAGCCCTATGTAGAAGTAACATTCAAATTTGGTGCTCACCGCAAGGTGTGTAAGTGGAGAGTTATGGTTTATAGTTTTAAGTAAATATCGTGACATTAGCATTGTAACATTCCTGTTCTGTTAGTTTAATACTGATAAATCTAAATGCAGCTGTGCTGAATCCACATACACTCCTCACAGATGTGCCATCTAATGTAAAAGTAATAGGAAGCTATCAAAGGTCAATAAGGCCACAGAAAATGGTTTAGAGTTAAATAATTAGTTTTTGTACCAGTAGTATTAACAAACGAACTTAGGATCTGACTTTCACAGTGATTCACACTGTGCAAGGGGGGAGATAATGAGACAATTAAAACGTGAAGATTTTTAGAATATTCTGACAATAGTTGATAAACTCTTGGGCCATTGTGATATGTTTTTTTAGATAAATTAAAGAGACCAATAAAACAGTACTGGGACACTTTTCCAGTTCCAGAGAGATGTTTTTAGACATCTATTTATAGACAATGTGGACATGATTAAAACGGCCAAGGAAAATGTTACATGGTTGTAATGATGACAGGTTCAGTCGATGGATAGAAGCAACACCATCAAAAGATCTTGGAGTCAAAATAAATCTGTCATTGCATGATTTGGTACATCATTTTGGGGAAGAAAGTTAATCTCTCAAGTAAATATCTGATCAGAGAATTTGCACTAACAATAACCTATAGGAAGATGCTTTTGCTACTTGCGCTTATGAGCTTTCACAATCAAAAGCACTGAGATAAATCTTTCACTGCATGATTGACTAACTTACAAAGCTATGCTTTACTGCGGCTAAATAATTAAGTTTTTCGCTTGAGCAGCTGAAAATTAGTGAATTAAATATATGAGGCAGCTAACTACGATGCAAAGATCTATCGATTAGTAGGAGGAGTGCCAAAATCTGATCCCAGTCAAGAGGTGGAGGCCAGTCGAGCCAGAGCACCAGGTGTACATCACCGTCCTTTGAGGAGGGTGGCACAAAGAACGAGGAGAAGAACTGAACACTTTGGTCCTGGTGAATCTACTTCAGTGCAAGAAGAGGGCAATAAGATGTGGTGTCATCTACCACTGACTGCCCAGAAAAAACAAGGGAAGTATGACTTGATAAGAGACGCTCCCAGAATGACTGTAGCACTCGTCCTGAAAGTAACTGTTTTCCTGGTGTTGCTGCTGAGGGACAATGTGTGGAGAGAGACCGAGAGAGAGACTGATGACAACAATGAGGGTGAAGGTCAAACTGGTGCCAGTACAGCTGTGAGAAGAAGAAGTGGGAGACATTGTTATCGCGGGTGAGTACGATGCAACCCAAAACACAATCCACACCACTCCAGACAGAGCTAGAACCCATGCCAACATTCACAGATTATTACAGATTTACAATGAGGTTAAATAGATAATAAAATTAAAAAGAATTTTTTTATATATATAGATAATCAGAAACAAGAGAGCCCTACACACTAAGTAGATCTCAGATATTGGAGGAAAGGTTCCAGATGAATTTATCACATAGGGAGTAAAATGAATGCTGAAAAGTCGTGTGTGGCAATAAAATAACAGCTGGAGGTGGTAAATGGGGAAGAGATTTTTGCCAGATTTTTACAAATAAGAGAACTGTTTTTTTAAATGTAAAATTAAGTAATTATGTGAAAGGAAGATGTGTTTGATTTGATTTTGTTTGATTTGATTTGTTGATTATTCAGCGAAGATGTTTAGATTAAAGGATATTTACATGTAACAAGTCCAGTAACATGTCAATACAGACAAGCATTAAATTAGGTATTTGAAGAGAAAAGATGTGTCTTAAAAGTTTGGAAAGTACTGTCGCAGATACATTTCTAACAAAACAAGCCCCTGGGGGAGGTTTTTCTAAAGCTATGAAGGGTATGGAAAGCTAAAAGTGGAAATGCGGGAGAATGCTGGTAAGGGGGGCCTGTTAATGGACTGGGTGGTCCAAATTTTAGATGAATGAGAGCCGTTTTGGCCCAGCCATGAGTGCTGCGATAGCCCTATTTCTGATTTCCTTTCTCACATGTCGCATCGTACACATTCTTTGGAGACATTGTTGGAAGCTGACGGAGGAGATGGGACTTATGGTGGACCTAACACTGGCCCATGAACTACAGGAAATGCCACCAAAACAGCTGGCACAGTGTGTGATTGATCAAGGAGGGACTGAGGGACCTGAACGGTTCCTGGACTTGGTACCTGGACAGAAGACGAAGATGAGCAATGGACTTTGAGCAACACAAACAACATATTCAATGAGCTGGAAATATTGAACTGAACATGTTTCATTCACAGAGTTAAAGGACTGCACTAATCACATATTAATCAAGAGGTTTGTCGCAGGTTGCTACAATGTAATGTAATGGTATTATCAGAAGTTGACACTTCTTCTATGCAAATGAAATTATATCAGCGCATCCAGGAAATGGATGGTCGCCAGGGCGCGGGGCCGTAAGATTCTTTCCCTGCTGAAACAGCCGAGCGGGGTTTTCAGTCTTACGCGTTGATATAATTTGAAATGATCCAAGCTATGGTATGGTGTTTAGTGTTTGATATGATGGTTAGGTTTTTATGAAAGTAAGAACTTTCAAAGGGGGGATGTGTAGGGGAATCTCTTCATACAGTTAGGTTAAGAAATGTAGAGTAATTATCTTTTAGTAAGAAGCTACAAAGAATCTAGGTTGGCCTGCTCCTGCAGCCCCACGACCATGAGATTGTAAGCAAGGCTGTCTTGCAGGAGCCCAAACTATCTGTCTGTTGGAACATGTAATCTCTGCCAGGGTCAAGACGAACCTAAACAAAGTGTCGTGGGGCAGACATGTCATCGTGAGGGGCCTTCTGGAGAAGTCACATACACACACACACACACACACACACACACACACACACACACACACACACACACACACACACACATATAACAGCATAAAAGAGAGTAGAGGTAAAGCTAGAGAGGCTTCCTTGGGTCTTGGTCGAGACTCTGTTTGTCATCTGTACTGATTTCTACATCTGTACTATTAAAGTGCCCAGGCTGTTCTTCAGATCTCATCATGTCTCCTGTGCATTGTTTGGCCTGTAGCCACAGTTTTAGGGCAGAGATTGATGGTGTGAGCAGGGGATAATATAGGATAAGGTTCTTGCATGTACTGAATCGTAGGCTTTGAACAAGATGAGCATACCCATGTTTAGCGGGGAGCTGACTCTGATGTCCCAGTATCATCATCTGCTGCATCTCTCTCTTGAACATAAATCTAATGATCCATTTATTTATTTATCATTTTGACTTATTTCTGCATTTATGATTGAAGCAGCTGTCTCTTTGAAGTTCCCTCCTTCTGCAAAAGGCGGAAGGCGGGCCCCAGCGCCTAGGCAACTAGCTTCCAATCAAAAAAGGGCCTTGAGCTTCCATTTCTTGAGTTTGTATGCGGAAGCAAATACGACTAACTCTCAAGCAGCCTGGTCCTATTCGATTTCTATGGTTTCAATGCAGAGTGCAGACTGACGTGCGGCAACACACTAAGCAAATGTAGCCTACATACACTACGGGGGTGAAGGTTTGCGTACCGCTGCATACCGGCTGTAAACTGCTGATGATGACTTGGCGTACCGCTGCATACCGGCTTACTAGCTTACTTTCACCTCTGGGTGTGAGGGAAGACCTGCAGATTGAGCAGAAAAAAAAACTTGATGCCCAGTGAAATGTCTACCGATTAGAGCCAGGTCAACTCCAGACTAATCAAGTCTTTGGTTAAATCTTTGAATGTACATAGCAGCTTTGCTGAAAATGATTTGTGATGTTCCTAGAATAATGTTCCTCCATAAGGCATGGCTGAATCAGAAATAATGGTGAGATATGTGTCCAGTTCAGTTCTGCGTACTGAAAACACTTCACATATGACATTTTCAAATACGCCGGAAGCTACATGAATTCAGCTAAGGTCGGGGATTTAAACAGCCGGGCATCACTATATTTAAGCATCACGGACTCATCTCCGCAATCCACAATGCGTCTATTGTTGTAGTCAGAGCACAGAAAGTTTTTTACAAGATTGACATCAGTACCTGTGAGGATTTGGCTCCGCAGATTAGGTGTAATTGCAGCAGCAGGAAGGAAGAATGGGACACCAGTGGAGACAGGAACTGCACTCTCCAGGATCCTTCACGGGATGGTTACACTGTTGTCGATTGTCACTGGAGTGACATCATCATTCAGCGCGGTGAATGCAGGTGACAGCTGGGATGAAGGAAGACAGCTTAGCACGTGCCGAACCGGATTCTGAGGCTTCAATTCGATCCTTGTGGGTGAGCGATGGATTAACGCCAGACAGTGCATTCAGGATGGACGTCCACGTCCGCGGTTCTGGTGGCTGGGATTGAGCCTTGTGCTCTGCGGGCGGCGGCGGTGACTTGGTGGCTGAAGCTGGAACTGCCGTGACGTTGTGGGAACAGTGTTTCTTTTCTCCGTCGCTTTTCTAGAGACGGAGGAGCAAAGAGAGAACTGAAATAAATAATACCAATTAAAATTAAATTAAAAAAGTGAGTTAGGGGTGGTGGGATGGATAGGCCAGTTTAAACAGGTGTGTCTTGAGTTTGGACTTGAAGAGGGGGAGGGAGTCTATGTTGCGGATGTGTGATGGTAAAGAGTTCCAGGTGCTGAGGTGAACAGGGGGTACAGTGAGGTGGAGAGGGGAAGAGGATCGGAGGCGGCGTGATGGAGTGGCAATGTGGAGGAGGTCAGACAGGTAAGGAGGGGCGAGGTTTTGGATGGCTTTAAAGGTATTCAGGAGGATTTTGAACTGGATTCTTAGTGGGACCGGGAGCCAGTGGAGCTGCTGCAGGATGGGGGTGATGTGGTGGGATGAAGGGGTTTTGGTGATGATCCGGGCAGCAGAGTTGTGGACCAGTTGAAGTTTATGGAGAGACGTGTGAGGGAGACTGAAGAGGAGGGAGTTGCAGTAGTCCAGACGGGAGGCGACGAGACTGTGGACGAGGATGGAGGTGGTGTTGGGGGAGAGGGAGGGACGGAGCCGACTGATGTGGCGGAGATGGAAGTAGGCAGTCCGAGTGGTAAGGCTGATGTGGGATTTGAAGGAAAGAGTACTGTCAAGGGCGACACCCAGACTCTTGACCTGAGGAGAGGGGGAAACTGAGGAACTGTCGATGGGAAGGGAGAAACTGTCAACTTTGGATAGGGTGAATTTGGAACCTGCTAGAAGAATTTCTGTTTTCTGACTGTTTAATTGGAGAAAGTTGGAGGTGAACCAGGATTTAATTTCGGATAGGCAGGTGATGAGGGAGGTGGGTGGGAGGTTGGAGTTTGGTGAGCGGAAGAGGTAGAGCTGGGTGTCGTCCGTGAAGCAGTGATATTGAATGTTGAATTTATGGAAGATGGAACCAAGGGGGAGGAGGTAGGTGATGAACAGCAGGACAGAGCCCTGGGGCACACCTGAACTGACTGGGGAGGGGTCGGACTTGAAGGATTTGAGCTGGATGAACTGTGTGCGGTCTGAGAGGTAGGAGTGGAACCAGCGGAGGGGGGTGTGGGTGATGCCGATGGAGGAGAGTCTACGGAGGAGGATGGGATGGGAGATGGTGTCGAAGGCTGCACTGAGGTCGAGGAGGATAAGGATGGAAAGTGAACCAGAGTCAGTTGCAGTGAGAAGGTCGTTTGCGATTTTTTGCAGTGCGGTTTCGGTGCTGTGGCGGGGGCGGACACCAGATTAGACAGGGGACGTAGAGGAAGTTCTGGGTTAGGTGGGTGTGTAGTTGGCTGGTGACGACCTTTTCCAGTATTTTGGCTGTGAACGGTAGATTGGAGATGGAGCAGAGGTTGTTTAAGTTATTGGGGTCAGAGCCAGGTTTTTTCAGGATAGGGGTGATGGCTGCTGTCTTAAAGGATGCAGGAACAGTTCCAGTGGTGAGTGAGGAGTGAATGATGGCAGATATGAGAGGAAGCACAGACGGGAGGCATGATTTGACCAGTGTGGTGGGAAGGGGATCCAGCTGACAGGTTGAGGGTTTGGATTTCCGGATGAGATGAGAGAAAACTGGAGAAGTACTGACGGTGTGGCAAGGGAGTTGGTGGGGTCGGAGGGGGTCCAGGGGGGAGAGAGCCTGAGTGCAGTTGTTGTTATATAGTCTGATGGCTGTTGGTACGAAAGATCTTCCGAATCTTTCTGCCCTGCAGCGAAAAGAGGAGCCGTCCACCACCATTGGCCCTTTGGTCCATCAAGGTGTTGTGAAGTGGGTGATCCATGTTCTTTATAATGGTCTCCACCGTCCTCAGTGTAGATCTCTCCACCACATCCTCCACTGAGTCCAACTTGAGTCCTACCACAGAGTCAGCCTTTTTCACCAGTTTATATATCAAATTAATATATCTTGCATCTTTGTGTTTAATGCTTCCTCCCCAGCAGACTGCAGTGTAGAACAGAACACTTGCCACTGATAACACATCTGCAGCATCTTACTACGGATGTCTGTTGATCGGAGTCTTCTCAGGCAAAAGAGGCGGCTCTGCCCCTTTCTGTAGATGAAGTCTATATTCTTCGACCAGTCCATCTTGTTATCCAGATGTACACCTAGGTATTTAAATGTCACCACTTTGATGTCCACTCCACAGGTGTTCACTGGCTGAAGAGGGGGTTTGGATCTACGGAAGTCTATGACCATCGCCTTTGGCTTTGAGGTGTTGAGGAGGACGCAGATTTTGTGACTCCAGTCACTGAGGGCTTTTATCAGATCTCTGTATTCAGCTTCTTGTCCATTTCTGATACGTGCCACAATAGCGGTGTCATCTGAGTATTTCTGGATGTGGCAAGACTCTGTGCTGTATTTGAAGTCTGACCTATACAGTGTGAACAGGAATGGCACCAGCACTGTCCCTTGTGGAGCCCACGTACTGCTCATTAATGTCCCAGAAACACAGTTCCCCAGCCTGACAAACTGTGGCCTTCCTGTCAGGTAATCCGTGATCCAGGGAACACAGGAAGGACCTCTTTCCACTCAACCAAGCCCCCCCCCCCCCCCCCCCCGGTTACTCCTACCTGCACCAACCCCGCCTCACTGGACGAGGCGGAGGCGTCGCAGTTATTCACAAACAAACACTCAAGACCAAATGACAAATTACCTTCAGAAACCTCAAATCCATCTCACCACAGGACCTCTCCGCTTCCCTATCTGCCACCCTCACTGCATCCCCTCCCTCACCATCTGCTAAACTTCCTGACCTACTCAACTACTACAACAAGACTCTATCCTCCTGCCTGGACCAGCTCGCACCTCTCAAAACAAAAACAGTTTCATTCAGACACTCTGCCCCCTGGTATACTTCAGAACTACACAAAATGAAATCCCATAAACGCCAACTGGAACGTCTACACCGCAAAACCGGCCTCACTGTCCATCTCCAAGCCTACACCGACCACCTCCACCTATACAGAACAGCCCTCAAATCCGCCCGCTCATCCTATTACTCCAACCTCATCAACTCCGGCTCCAGTAACCAAAAGGCTCTTTTCTCCACCATCAAAAAACTGCTCCACCCCATAGACAGTACCTCCATCACCTTCACCCCGGAAAAATGCAACACATTCCTCTCCTCTTTTCAAACCAAAATCAACGCAATCTATAACTCCCTTCCCCCACCCTCCATTCCCTGCTCCTCCCCTCATCCCATCAGCACTCTCCTGCTTCTCACCTGTCTCCTCAACCAACGTGACTAATATCATCTGCTCCATGTCTTCATCCACCTGTATCCTGGATCCCATCCCATCCTCCCTTATCAAGCACTGCCTCCCCGTCATCTCCCCCATCATAACACAGATCATCAACTCCTCCCTCAACTCCGCCACTGTTCCCCCGTCACTCAAACTGGCTGCTGTCACCCCCATCCTCAAAAAACCTGGACTCAACCCCGATGACATCAGTAACTTCCGGCCCATCTCCAACCTCCCTTTCCTGTCAAAAATC